GCTGACCCCTCCTGCCGCTCCCATGCCCCCCCCCCTCACCTTGAGCACCTCGCTGAAGCCGCCCTTCCCCAGCAGGTTCATCAGGCAGTAGCGCGGCCGGCCCCCGGGCCCCGGGCGGTCCGGCAGCACCGGCCAGCAGGCGAAGCGGGAGGAGTCCTCCTCGCGGGACAGCTTGAGTGCGCGGATCTGGGGAAGAGGAGGGAGGAGAAGGTGGAGGGAAGCACGGTTAACCTCCCTAGTCCGCTTTCGAGACACATACGGCCCGTTACCTAAACACATGCACAACACGCATGCACACCCTTCCTCCTGCTCCTCCCCCCCCCACGCCCACCTGTCTTATCTTCTCCCTGCCCAGCCGCTCCTCCTCCTCCCGCAGCGCCTCATCCTCGCGCTTCAACACGGCCAGCCGGGTCTGCGGGGGGGGGAGGGGGGGCAGGGAGGGGGAGGGGAGGAGTGTGGCCGGGGTCAAGCGGCAGGGCAGGCGGCTAGGGGGCCAGTGTGGGGAGCAGCTGGGGACAGAGATTAAGCATGAAGCCCCTACCACCGTCTCTCCCCCGCCCCTGCCCTACCTTGTACACCTCGTCCGCTGCAACGAACTCGCAACCGCTCAGGTAGGGCGTCTCGCCAGCACCTGCTGCACCTGCTCCCCCAGCGCTCACCGACTCGCCGCCACCAGCTGCCGCCGCCGCAGCCACCCTAGCTCCCGAGGGCGGAGGCGCCAGGCGCTTCCGCAGTGCCTACAGGGGGAGGCGAGGAGGGGACCAGGGGGCTTTGGGGGGGGCCAAGTTGGCGGCCAGGTCGTCTCCCCCCCCCTCCCCCCCTCCTGCCCGGCCCTCACCTCCGCCAGCTGCATGGGCCCGGTGCGCACCAGCGACAGCTGCCCCAGGCGGGCCGAGTTGGCGGCCAGCTCCCCCCGAGCCGCCGCGCGCTCCAACCGGGCGCAGTGCTGCAGGGGGGGGGTCATGAGGCAGGGTGACGGCATGAGGGAGGCTAGCGAGACGGCCCTAGATGCTCCCGCCCCCTCCTCTTGCAATCCCCCCCCCCACCTGCCCCCCCACCTGCACCAGCCGTGTGAGCTCCTGGCGGTACCTGGCCTCCCGCTCGCCCGCCACCCGGGCCGCACCAGCTGCCTCGGAGGACCAGCGGGCGGACTCCGCGGCAGCACTGGCCTGGGGGCAGGGCAGGGCGGAGGTGGGGAGAGGGGCGAGGGAGGTCATGGAATACCTCACCACGCACCAGGGAGAGGGGAGAGTGGCGCATTAGGGATAGACGCATGGGCCCCCCCGCACACATACACAGCACGCACACCCAGCACACAGGCAGCCCCACCCGCAGCGACTCCAGAGCCGCCCGGGCCGCCCAGAGCCAGCCGCTGCAGCCGCCCGCAGCGCCTCCTCCTGAGACCTGGAGGTAGTAGGAAGGCGAAGGGAGAGGAGGTGAGAAGCGGCGGCAGGTGCAGCGCCAACACGGGGTGGCGGGGCTCAGCACCAGCACCAGCAGCAGCACCGGTCCTATCCTTTACCCCTCCTGGACCCAGCTCCCCCTGATCTCCCTGCCCGGGGGGCACCTGCACCGCTCCCACAGCGCCTCCGCCTCCGCAGCAGCAGCCTGGTGGAGAGAGGCGTGAGAGGGGCGGGACATGGCATCAGCAACAGCAGCAGCATGGGTTACGGTAGCAGCGGCAGGAGCGGCAACACGCCCCACATTGTCTCTCTCTGCGCGCCCCTCGCCCTCACCTCCACCCCCCCTTCCTCACCTCCGCCGCCTGCCTCAGTCGCTCCATCTCCGCCCCCGCTGCCGCCTGCTGGGCAGCCATGGCGGCCTGCACCTGCGTCACCTGGGCCTGAGGGGCGGGATGGGGGAGGAGGAGGACTGACGGTGAGGGTCCTGCAACGCGGGTGGAAGGCGAGGAGATGCGGGTGTGAGGGAAACTGACAGCGTGGAACGCTACGTTCCAAGTACCCGGTATGTCGGGGTGGGCCAGACGAGTGACAGCACACCCTCCCTCTCCTCCTTCTTCCCCCTCCGCACCTGCAGCTGAGACACCTGCTGCCGCTGCAGCACCAGGGATGGCGGCGGGCCGTCCCTGGAGTTCTGGTCAGGTGCACCGACCAGCGGCGCCGGCAGTCCCCCGGCAGGACAGTTGTTGGGCACCGCTGCCGTACCATGCCCGCCGCCGCCGCAGCTGCTAGCTGGACCCAGGACGGGTGCAAAATAGCTCAGGATGCTGCTGCGTTTCTGGGCTGAGGGAGGGGCCGAGGGAGCTGCGTTGCCGCCGCCAGCATTGCTGCGGCTGCCGCCGACGCTGTTGCTCCGACCAGCGGCATGTACCGCTGCCGCCTCTTCAAAGAGCTGTCGTACAGCGCCTCCGCCGCCGTCTGCGTGTTGACGGCGCCGCCGCCGTCTGCGTGTTGACGGCGCCTCCGCCAGCGGCACCGGGGTCAGCTATGTGTGGGGGCAGGGCGAGATCCGCATGTGGGGTTGGGGCACAGGGCTGGAAACTGGAAAGGCTGCATCCGCCGTCAGCTCCCGCAGGAGCCGCACCCGCTGCCGCGAGTTGCTGTTGCGGCTGAGCGGCAGTTACCCCCTGTTCCTGCTGCTGCTGGTTTGGGTGTGAAGCGCCGGCGGCAGCGGCGACAGCTGCTCGCGTGGCGGCCACCGCGGCCGCTGTCAGCGGTGTCGGCGGAGGTGGAGTCGCTGCTGCGAGGGCCGCCAGTGGCGGCGACGGAAGCGGCCCGGCATCCGGCTGCTGACCCGCCGCATCGGCAGCGCCTGATCGCAGCGCCTGCCGGTCCCCATGCAAGCCGCTGGGGGTAATGTCCGAGAGGGGAGTACGGCAAGCGGCAGAGGACGCCGTTGCTACAGCCATGAAAGCAGCAGCGGCCCCGCTGCCGCCGCCGACGCTGATGGCTCCGGGTCCACCGGTGAGGTCTGCATCCTGTGCGGGGGGCCCTGCTGCCGCAACAGGAGTAGACAACAGGGCCGCCAGGGCTGCGGTTATCCGCTGGAGACCCGCCTGTTCGACGGTGCTTAAAAGCAGGGTTACCCGCCGCCGCTGCAGGGTAAGCTGAGGACGCTAGCGGCGCTGAGGCTGGCGGTCCAGGGAGGGGAAAGGCGGCTGCTTGCGGCTTGCTGGCTGTGGCGGTGTTTGACGCAACATGGCCGGTTGCAGCGTCTAGGGAAGCAGTTCCTAGAAGCTGACGATGACCCTAACGAGCTAGCCCAAGAGAGTTGGCGAGCTGCTGCGGAAGCTGCTGGAAAATGGAAGAGCTTGCTAGCGGAACAACATTGCCGCTGCCGGATGCGCCCAAACTAGGGTCCTGGCCGGCCATCCGCCTTTCTAGGGCCAGGATTTTTGCTTCATTGCTACTAATGTTCAACACAAGTGGGCTGATGCCTGGCGTGGTGGATGTTGAGCGCTCCGTGGTGGCCATCCTACTTGGGCGCTCGAATTACCAAGCGCCCTTGGTTGCCACCGAACGCCTGTGGCAAGAACTCGCCAAACTCGCTGTGGCCTGTGGTTTCAACCCAAACCAGGAACTCAAGGTTACCCTTGAGCAAACCCTCTATTTTCTTGACCTGAGCTAAGGCAAGATTATCCGCTGAACTTAAGCATGTCACTAAGCGGATGGAAAAGAAACTAACAAGGATTCCCCTAGTAATGCCGAGCGAACCGGGAATAGCCCAACTTGAAAATCCCCCTTTGGAGAATCTATAGAAGCGCCCTCATGGACTGGCGGAGCTCAAGTCGGATTGAATGCCGTGTCAGAGATGGTGATAACCCCGTCGGTTCCTGCCCAGTCCTTCCACGAGGTGCTTTCCACGAGTTGGGTTGTTTGGGCCCAATGCAATGTTGCAATGAATGCAGCCCTAATTTGGAGGTAAATCCCTTCTAAGGCTAAATACTGCTGAGAGACCGATAGCGAACAAGTACCGTGAGGGAAAGATGAAAAGAACTTTGAAAAGAGAGTTAAAAGTGCTTGAAATTGTTGAGAGGGAAGCGATTTCCTGCGGTTGGGTGGGTCGGAGCTAGCTGCTGCTGCGTGACCCGGGGGTCGCTTTGTGCAGGCTGTTGATAGACGACCAGTTGTAACCCTAGACGCCCGTACCTGCCTGCTATCGCCCGGGTAGGGAATTCTAGTACGGATTCTGCGTGCTGTGCTGTGCTGTGCTGGGGCAGGTGGCATATTAGTGTTCGTGCTTTGGGCGTGTTGGGGCTCACCGTCAGGTGGCCTACATCTGCGGTATGGATGTGCCGGATGGTGGTGGTGGAGGCTGGCAGGATGTCTATTTGTGGCTGTGGCTGTATTGGGTACGGGACATGTGCATGTGCTGTGCTGCTTCCGTGGCAGCAACATCGACAACAGGGCCTTGAACCCGTTGAAATGGAGATGAAGAAGAAGAAGAAGAAGTTATACTGAGGACGAAAGACGATGCTGACGTTTAACTCTTGAGCAACCGTGCCTGCTGTGTTGATGTGTTCTGGTGTGTTGTTCGCAACAATCCTCAGCTGCCATGTACGGATGTATGGAGCGGCCTGCCTGTCGTGAAGGCCAGGAGGCGAGGTGCGAGGTGGAGGATGTACAGACTGGCACGCTCTTCATCACGGTATGCATGCATGCCGTCCAAAAAGGCTGGGTATCCATGTGAGCCCCATGCATCATGTGTCTCCCGTACGGTGATGGCGGAGTACGGCGGTTTCGCAGTGTTTAGTGGCAGGTTTTGCTGTTCAGCGCACGGTCGGGTCGCGTTGCTTTGCTTTCCTTGACTCTCTGCATTCGTTTGATCTTCAGCAGCAGCAGGTGGACTGGCGGTGTCTCGTGATGATAAAAGAACCTGCTGTGATTCCTGAAGGAGGGTGAAGGGGTGATGCCTGATGCACGCATGCTGGCATGCACGGTGCCCCCGGGCTTGCTTGGTATTGTGCGCTACACGCTATGCACGTTTTTGCTGGATAGCTGCGTGCATGCCTGTCAGGATGCATGTTGTACTATTCAGCACGAGGATTCATAATGTATATATGCAGGGCGGGGGTGGCCTATGTACAGAGGTGGGGTTGAAGGCGGAGGCGAGCGAGGGGGATTGTTGCATTGGATAGCGGGTGGTCTACAGTGCAGGCAGCCAGCGGCTACCTCGCTGCTTGCTAGCTGTACCGGGAGCTAACACATCTTCTTTCCCATCCTGCTGCAAACTGCATCGTCGCACAGCCTGATGGCAAGCACCTCCTGCGTAGATGCCGTACTTGCCTCAGCAATGTACACAACCCTGCCGTTAACACCTGTGCTAATCCGAAACCACTATGGCTGCCACCTGCTGCCCCGGCCTGCTGCTACTGGTGCACTCCTGCTGCTGCGCGCCTAGCTCTGGCAGCCTACCTTAGACCTCGTATCCTAATGCTTTCACACAATACCACAAACCACAGTACATCCCGCCGTCACCAGTCGCCTCCGATGTCGCTATACACTGAGCCTCCTCCGCATCCGCCTTCCCCTTCCCCGCACCCGCCAGTGCCTCCACCTCCACTCCGCCTCCTGCGCACTTCGCGCACTCCGCAGCCGCCAGCCCGGCGGGGCGCAGTGCCGCCGCCGGCTGCTGACCACCCGCACCATGCGCCCCAGCGCCCGCAGATGTGGCCGGGACAGCGCCGCCGCCAGCTGGTCCAGGCGGGCGCGGAAGGCCGCCACCCAGCTGCCGGGAGGACGCAGCGGGCAGGCCAGCAGGCAGGAGGCGAGGTGCAGCAACACGTCAGCCTGGGGGCCGGGAAGCGGGATAGGGGAGAGCGGGAAGGTAGGAGGAGAGTTAGGGCATTGCTCAGCACCACAGCCTGTCCAGAGGCGGATGGGGATGGTAAGATGGGATCTGAGCATGGACATACACGTTAACGACTGCTGCGAGGTAAACACAAACCCACTTACGCTGCCCGAACCCCGCGCGACTCTTCCCACCCCAGGCCCGCACCCCGACAGAACCCACCGGGCACGTCTGCAAGGTCGCCTCACTGGTCTGGAACAGCCGCCGGGTCCACTGCAGCGGGGGGCTCATTCGCAGCCGCCGCACCCCGCCCAGCAGGCAGCTCAGCGACACGGGGGACATGTACGGCAGCGAGGGGGCGCTAGCGGCCCAGAAGGCGGCCAGCCAACCGGGGGGCGGCCGGCGGCCGGGCCAGCTGCGAGCCACCGATAGCAGCAGCAGCGCCAGCTGGGAGGGGGTCAGCGAGCAGGCAGCAGCAGCAGGAGCGGCTGCGCAAGCAGGTGGAGCCTCACGGCGCTGCTGCAGGTCCTGCTGCCGCTGCGCTCGGACCCCTGAGCCCACAGCCAGCGAGCACACCTCCGCCGCTGCTTCCACGTTCTGATGCCGACCCCTTTCTACCACCCCTCCTGCCCCCATCAAGCGGGCGCTGGCCCGCAGAAAGTCCTCCCGCCATTCCAGCCCCAACCACCCATGCAGACCCAGCCGACTCAGCGACGACAGAAGACCCACCAGCTGCCGGCCGTCCATGCACGGCATTTGGGTACGGCAGTGTGCGAGGTACGGCAGCAGGAAGGAGACCGGCGGGCGGTAATCCATGCGGCAGAAGGCGGCGGCCAGGGCGGTGCAGGAGGTGGCGTGGAAGGAGGGCAGCTTGGGCTGGCGGGGGAGGAAGGAGGAGGAAGGGTAGGGGCGTGGGGGCGGGGGAAGTGCACAGGTAAACGGCAAACAGAGCCGGACTTGCATGACGCAGGGCGGTCCATGCCTTTCCCTTTCAGCCGCCCTTCCTGTGCAGTCCCAGCCCCAGCCCGCCGCTCACCTGCACGTGTCGCAGCAGCTGCCGCATCCAGTCCGCAGGCGGCTTCACACGCCACCGCCCGAAGCCGCCCAGCACCTGACACACCTGGGAAGGGGAGGCGCCGAGAGGTGGCCAGGTGGTTGGAGCCGTCGCGCAATGAGCGGTGAAACAGACTCTGCAAGCCCTGAGAGGCCCGATGCTTTTAACCGATGCCCACACGTACAAGAAGGACTATCAGTACCCCACGTGACAGCCCACCTGCACAACTGCATGCGGTACCACAAACCATGCGCATGCCTCTACCACCCCTCTCCCCTCACCTGGTCCGCCGCCAGCTCCGGTGCCGCGCCCAGCAGCGCCCGCAGCGCCCCCCGCCACCAGGCCGGCCCGGGCGCCCAGCGCACCTCACACAGGGCCCACCACAGCGGCACCAGCGGGAGGCTGGCGGACAGCAGCGCAGCGACCCATGGGACGGCGGGGCGGAAACCCAGCCGCACCAGGGACCAGAAGGCGCGACACAGCAGCGCTACGTCGGTGCCGTTCGCTACAGTTGGGGTTGCTGAGGCGGCCGTGCCAGGACGTGCGGGTGCAGATGCGGGTGCTGCTGGCAGCGCACTGGGGCTGGTAGCGGATGGTGCTGAGGCGACCGCAGGAGCATGGGCAGTAGGCGGAGGAGAGGCAGGAGGATGAGACGGGTGGATTGGGGCCTGAGGCGAGGGCAGCGACGGTGTGGGCAGCAGCGCGGCCAGCTGCTCCAGGAGGGCCGTGTCGGGGTCCCCGGTCCGTGGGTGCTGGTGGTGCTGAGTGGGGTGCTGGGGCTGGGGCTCCTTCTCGTGCGGGCTGGACATGCGGCCTAATGGGGGGCGAGGCGGGCGCAGGAGGCCGGCAGGCAGGGTGGCGCCCGCTGTTGCGGATGCAGGTGAGGTGGCTGGTGACGAGGCGGGCGGTGCCGCTGCCATCATGGCTCCTGGTGCTGCGACTGCAGCAGCTGCCGGGGAGCGGCTGGCGATTGAAAGGCCCGTCGCTACCGCCCTAGCCGGCGCGCGCAGCTGCCGCCACGCCAACCTTGGGACGGTGTGCCTCTCCCTCGCCGCCAAACGCTGCACAGGCAGCGTCATGGAGAGGCCCTTCCTGCCTTCCCCGCTGGCAACCCCCGTGGCACCACCACGGGAATGCCTCACAGCTGCAACGGCAGAGGCCCTACGGTAACGTCTCAACCTCTCCTCGCCGCTGCCGCTAATGTTGAAAACGGAGAGCGGTACCAGCGGCAGCCGTGACAGCGCCCCCCGGCCCCGCAGCGGCGGCGGAGGTGGCCTCTGCGCGGCCCCCGGCCACTGCCTGAAGCGCGCCATGCTGTACAGGAACTGCACTGCGTCTTTGGGGCCCACCCGACCTGCTGCCAGGGCTGCATGGATGTACGACATGAAGGCGGAGGTGAGGGCGGCGTCCAGGTGTTTGCCAGCGCGCAGGGCAGCTGCCTCCGCCGCCGACGTTGTCGTGTTAGCGACGCCTCCTTCACCACTGCTACGACCCCTGCTGATTCTACTGCCGCTCGCACGGAGCTCCGCGGCCACGGCAGCCGCCACCACCGCTGAAGCCGCGCTGCTAATGCCGCTACAGCTACCTGGTTCCCCCTCGCAGTCCCCCTCTGCGACCCCCAGCCCCAGCGCCCGCTCCACCGCTGTCAGGCCCCCCTGTCGAGCCGCCTGCGCCACCATGAACCCGCCCACACCAGCCGGTGCCAGCGCTGCAACCGCCCCCAGCGCCCGCCACGCCTGCCGTACATCCATCCCCGGCAGCTCGTCCAGCAGCCTGAGCTGCGCCCGCAGCAGCACCACGCGACCCACGGTTCCGCTGGCGGGTGCGAACTCCCACATGGCGGGCTGCGCCAGCTCCTCCAGCACCCCCACCAGCTGCTCCGGAGCCAGGCGGCGGCTGGAGTGCAGGTACGGCACCAGGGCCGCCAGCGCCGGCAGCACCCAGGCGGGCTGCGGGGGGAGGCCCAGGCGGCGCGCGTGCAGCAGCACCGCTAGGACGCTGTGCAGGGCGTGCGGGTCGCGAGGAGGCGGCCGCAGAGCTCCTGGTTGCCGCTGCTGGCGCTGCTGCTGACGGATGTGGATGGGCGTGGCTAGGCCAACCAGGGTGGCGGCGAGGGAGGCGACGGCACCGCTGGAAGAGAAGCCTGTTGCCTGCCCCCAACTCGCTTGAAGATTGGCGGCGTCTGGCTGGCAAAGGCTGCCACTGACAACGGCATGCTGCTCCTGCTCTTGCCCCACCTCGCTGCTACCACTACCAGCAGCTGCCGCGGGAGGTGCAGCAGCAGCAATCGCCGCCAGGGACTCCAGGGCGGCGGCGATGTGCGCCGTACCGAAGCTGCTGCCATACTGCCGCACCAGCCGCTGCAGCTCGTCCAGCTGCCGTACACGCTGCAGTGCCGGCAGCAGGCGCCCTCCCGCGCCCGCAGCCTGCTCCCTCGTACTGGGGCAAGCAGCAGCAACAGCAGGCAGGATGTCTGCCGTAACCCCGCCTGCTTGTTGCTTGAATGCCCCAATTTCAGCTTCTGCCGCTACTGCGGGTTGAGCTGCCGTAGCCAACTCCTCCGGCCCCACATGCTCCGCAGATAGCTTCACCTCCATCCTCCCAGCTGCCCCCTCGGTCCTACAACCGGCATCGCTGCCGCTGTCACTACCCTCACCTCTCCCTCTTCTCCTGCGGAGTCCGCCACTGCTGCCCTGGCGCTGCAGCCCCGGCGGATCATGCAAGCTGCTCCGCGGCGCAGGTCGCAGCCCCACCGAGGAAGCCGAGCTCCCCACCCCACCCAACCCGGCTGCCGCGCTGATAACTCCCTCCTCCTCATCGCCGCTGCTGCAGGCGCCCCGGCCCGCCCCCTTGCCGACGTCTGGGTCTGCGGCGGCGGCTGTTGCGACAGCCCCCACCCCTGCCGCTGCCGCTGCTGCTGCTGCGGGCAGACGTGATGCGGTGGGAGCTGAGGCGGCTGCCGGGTTGGCAGCTGGGGCCGCACCACGGTAGCCGCCGCCGCGACCCGCATAGCCCAGCAGCAGCGCAGGTTCGAGATTCGGATCACACCCGACCGGGCCCCAGCCGCTAGTAGCTGTTGCCGTACTGCTATCCGAGCTGCCGCCGTACTGCTTGACTGTGGTGGCGGGAGGGGGGGTGACGGCGGCGGCGGGGCGGGGCGGTGAGGCAGCTTTGCGACCCACATACCTCCCTCCGCGGTGCGGGGAGTGCTGCGGAGATGGCGTCAGCACTGCAGGGAGGTCGGCTGCTGCGGGCGAGGAAGAGGGGTACGGCGGCAGCGGTGAATGCTCGGCAGCGGTGGAAGGGGCCTGATTGGGGCCTGGTGCGGTCGCTGCTGTTACGTCATGCGCGTCTGGAGAAGGCGCCGGAGGGTGTTGGGATTGCTGCCGCGGGGCTTGCTGCTGCGGGGCTTGCCCCCACAAACGCTGCCCCTGCCCCTGCCCCTGCTGCTGCTGCCTGGCCTCCGGGCGGTACGGCAACTGCAACCGGGGGCGCTGCAGTAGCTCTAGGGTGTAGCAGCTGCTGCTGCCGGCTGACGCAGGTGCCGTGCGGGAGACTGGGAGCCGCTCAGCGCCCGTCCGTTGCTGTAGGGAGGCGACTGCTGGACGACATGTGGGCAGCTCCGACACTGCAGCTGCCGCCGCAGCAGGGCCCCGAGAGGTTGCTGTAGATGCCCCTGGAGAGTGGCTCGAAGGAACTAACCCGTTCTCTGCAAGTGAACGTGGCTGGTCCCTGTGGCTGGCTGCTATTGTACGACCGACTGCAAGCGACGATGGCGATCGGTACTGCCGCGGTATGCAGTCGACCCCTAGAGGTAGCCAGGAGGCCGGTTCTTGGGGGAAAGAATGTTCTCCGCAGCCAGATCGCTTGACAGTGTAGGATGTGTGCGTTAAAGGGCGTTGCCCGGCATGGCGCCGGCAACAGCATGGCTGCATCAAAAGGCGGATGTAACCACTCTTAATTGTCGAGAAAGCACCAGTCAGGGAGGTCACGACGAGGGCTTCTGGGCTTCTGGACTTGCTGCGATGCCGAGAACGAGCACAATTATGGCCCTACAAGTAAGAATTTCTCATCATATTCAGCACAATGCAATACGACTGCAACGTGACTTCTTGTAACTAGTTATTTCTGAAGCAAGTCTTTCGTGTAGTTGTCTACGTGAGTCCCTTCTACCTGCAGTGCTCAGCCACACGATACAAACAAATTGCTAGTCATAACCGTGTTATGCTTTGTTCAGCTTAATCCACTCGCGGGTAGCGATCACAGCTCTGGGAGGCCCTATCGACCAACTGCCCTCATTCGCTTTGTACTCCTTTTGCCAGGTTAAGCGTCATAACGGCCCTTGCTTATCCATGCATTAACGAGCTTACATATTCAACACATATTTCAACTGTAACAACCACATTAACAATGGCACTTCTTGCTCCTTTGCGTGGTGTCCGGCCTTCGGTGCGGCCATGCGCGGCTCGTGGACGCCGCGTTCTCGTCTGCAGAGTAAGCGCTAGCAATGTACAATTTCTGTATATCGGCGCGCTTCTTTGCGACCGAGGCGACAGTTGAGGTGTTGCTTGCGCGCCCTAGCAAAAAGTTTTCTGGTCTTTTGCGCAGGCCGAGGCTCAGCCTCCGGCTCAAACGCCGCCGAAGATTCCTGAATGGTAAGTCGCGTAAGCTGGATGTAAGGATAGGGAAAGCGCGTTTGCATCCGGCACAGCCACACACATGCAGTTCACGCAGCTCAACGCTGCCTCCCAAACATAACACATTGTGACCTTGAATTGCTTAATGGCGGTTGGGTTTTGTCAGCCTTTTCAAGAACTTCCAGCGTGATGCGCGCTCACCGTTCAAAAACCACAGCTTGCAAGGCTTGCAGCAGGCTGGAGAGCTTGCTCCGCGACAGTAGGCAGGAAACCAACATTGCCTTGTCCTTTTACTACGCGGTTTCGCAACAACCTCAGAAAACCGAACCCACGCCGTGCTCTTTCCTAACCTAACTTCCTCTCCGCCTACCACCGTCCCTCCCTCTCCTGACCGCCGCAACCTTGCTGCCATTGCCCCCCTCCTCCCACCTCCCTGTCCCCCACCCCTGCCCTGTGCCGCAGGGTTCCCGAGTCCGCCCTCCCCTCGCTGCAGTTCCTTCTGTCAACCGACTTCCGGCTGCAGGAGACGGAGCTGTACCGCACCCGCCTGCAGCAGTACGTGGAGTCGGACATGTTCAAGCGGGTAGGGCAGGCGGGGGGGGGGGCGGGGAGCAGGGTGCGCCTCACCGGTGCCAGTTGAAGGGGTTGGAGGGGGGCGCTGTCCCCGCCAGACCGCTGGTGTCCTCCCCTGTGCGGCATGTCGCCGTGTGTTAGGAAGCTGCCGCTGTGGGTGCGGCTTGCAGCCTTTCCTTGAATCGCCAGCTGTGAAGACGTTCATGCGCTAGCGAGGGAGTGATGCTTCGCCCCGCGCCAAGGCTCGGAAGCAGGCACCCGCGCGTGCCGAGGTCCCGCTCCGCCCTCCTGCTCCCCTCTCCCGCCCCACCCTCACGCCATGCTGCTTCCCGCCCCCTCCCCAGAGCACCGGGTGGAAGGAGCTGCCGGAGACCATCAACGGCCGGGCAGCCATGCTAGGTGAGGAGGGGGAAGGGGTTCGGCAGGGGGTACAGGACGGGCTGGGCTCCACAGCCGGGCCCCTCCGAGGGGGCTCCACCCGCCAGCAACCCCGCGGGGAGCCCCGTGCGGCCCGCCGCACCCTGACACAGCGCCGCATGCTCCCGCTGCCCCTGATGCGCCTGCTGGCCCCCCAGACCCCCCCTTACACACACCCGCTGCTCGGTACCTCGCACCACGTGGCCTTCAGCCACATGTTGGCTCCGCGGATTGCGCCCTACCTGCCCTCACTACCGCTCCTCCTCGTCCCGCTCTCCGCCCGCCTAGCTGCCTGCGCTGCTCCTCCTCCTCTCTTACCCCGCCTGCCCTTTGCCACCCCTCCTCCCCCTCCTCCCCCTCCTCCTCCCCCCCTTCTCAGGCTTCCTTGTGTGCGCCCTGCGCGAGGTGGCGGGCGGGGGCCCGGTGCTGGCGCAGCTGGCGGGCAGCCCGCTGCTGGTGCTGGGGGCGCTGGGGCTGCTGGTGGCGGCCAGCACCGTACCCATCTACAAGGTGGGGTTAGCGGAGGGCAGCGGAGGGGGGGAGGCATGGGTAGGGAGAGGGGGTGAGAGGGAGGAGGGGCGGGCGGGGAATGTTGCGCTCCTCTACCTGTGATGGCGGCTGGGTTGTCCCGCATGCGCCCGCTCCTTGCATGGCCGCTCCTTGCAGTGCCGCAGGGCCGTATCTTCTGCCCTAGCCAGCTGCCAAACACCGTCAACGCGCCACCTCTCTCCTCCCCTCCCTTCCCTCCTCCCTCCTCCCCTCCCCCCGCTCCTCGCAGGCCGTCCAGGGCGACTACCTGTCCGCCCTGCGCGACACGCACGGGGTGCCGGAGGGGGTGTTCACGGAGCCCCTGGAGCGGCTGCACGGCCGGCTGGCCATGCTGGGGCTGGCGGGGCTGCTGGCGGCGGAGGCGCTGGTCGGGAGGGCGCTGCTGTGAGGGGAGGGCCGGGGAGCTGCTGGGTGCGTTGGTGTTGCAGTGGTGTAGCGTCCGCTGCTGCAGGCGTTGGTGTTGTAGTGGTGGTGTTTGGAACGGGTTTGCACGTGGCGAGGAGTGCCGAGGGCCATGTGTACAGTATTATATGATGATGATGTGGGTGGCGAAGTGGTGGCGCACGTGTTCTTCAGAACAGGGTCGCGCTTGAGGTCGTGCAGAGAGGCTGGGGAGGTGCGGGTGTGGAGCGAATACCCGGTATGATGTTGGGCGGAACATAAGGTGGACACGTCCGGTTTACATGTTTCATTTCCTACCTTTCATGATTTGCTCATTTCGTTCATGTGAAACGGAAGTCAGTGAGTTAGCCTTGGTGAGGTGTGGGGCACCGTATGGTAGGCAAGGGAGTAGCAAGGCAAAGTCTGTTAAGGGTAATCCCGACATTGAATATACTCGGTGACTAACTACATACTAACGAAGCTTCAGTGACATATGTAAACTGCAGCTGGGCTGGGCTCGTGGATCAGGTACATGTACGTCAACGTGCAATATGTTGATAGGTTTGCCGCAGAAATTGTACTTTGTCACCACCCTGTCACATTCTGCGGTCATTGTGGCAAGAGGCGGCACTGTAGCAGGTGATCGCTGGTATAACCGTGTTGCAAACATGCATGGCTAAGATGGCTGCTGCTTCCCAAAGCTCCTGGCAGATGTAACGGAGAGCACTCCTGTTGATGTATGTCATAAGGAACTTGACTACTTGCGAAATGTCAGGCAAAAAAGGCAGCGAAATCGAGGCAGGCCGGTTACAGAAAATTGGTGGTCACCACGGCCTTGCCGACACGGTCACTCATTCCCCATTATATTCATTGACCAAAGCTGGTCAACGCGCTTGAACCAAGCAACCCTTCCCTGCCCAAACAACAAAGCTAAACAACTATGCCCATCCGGCCAATGGCAAGCTTAGTACAGCTTCTCCTCCTGGTGGGTGACGATGGTGACATCGGAGGTGGGGTAGGCCACGCAGGTCAGCACGAAGCCCTTCTCCATCTGGGAGTCGTCCAGGAAGCTCTGGTCCCCCTGGTCGACGGAGCCCTCCACCACCATGCCCGCGCAGCTGGAGCAGGCACCAGCGCGGCAGGAGTAAGGCAGGTCCAGGCCAGCCTCCTGCAGGGCACAGAGAGAAAGGAAGAGGAAAGGAGGCGTCAGCTAAGATCGGATCCCAAGAAATGACATTCCGCCGTCGTTGCTCGAGCATCTAAGCAACACAGAACATAATTCAACATGATGCAATTGGCTTTACTACAACTCAACACGCCAATGAACAGTTGCCTGCCGAACCGCATACTGAAAAGAAGCATGCAAGGAGCGACCCTTCCTTACCTCAGCAGCGTCCAGGATGTAGACATCCGGCTTGCACTCAATGGTCTTGTCGCCAGCAGGGGTCTTCAGGGTGACCTTGTAGGCCATCACGGTCATGCGGCTGGCGGGGCGAGCACCGCGGACGGCCGGGCGAGAGCCAGCCACGCGGGCGGCGAAGGAGGAGCGCATAGCCATGGCCATTTTGTTATTTGGGTCGGTGACAAGGACACTGCGTGGAAGCAATACTGCAATGTAGATAAGCAGGCGGTGCGACGAGGACTTATCACCGTGCGAAAGGATCAGCACCTCCTACGGCCCTCCCTGGCGGGTCGCCGTACTGACAATACTTGGTGCAGAACGCTAAGCAAGGAGTTGCAAGTAAACATCCCGCTGCGATGCTGCCTGATGGTCTAATGCCGCTTTTGTCTTAGGTTCGCAATGCTTCGGGGACCCGCGACGCTTCTGTTATCCCGACCACGCAGTCGCGTCGTGAACTCCTCCCGACCATCTCAACTTAACACTATTGCATTGCACATGTGTTGCCTGGGCCTGTGCGTCAGCAGTTGTAAAGGCTATCGCTATGCAAGCTGGGCCGCGGCCGTTCGCGCAGCGGCCATTCTAGGTCCGGCTAACACCGATTTGGCAAGTCAATTACCTTAACAATACTAGATTGGAAACCCTTTAGCGGATTCGCAATTACACCGCTTAACGTTCCTTGCGATGCTACCTTTGTGGCACGTGTTTTGCGAGGGCCAGGTACATCCAGGGGACGCCATGCGCTGGGGAATGAGCGTAAGTGCCCCTATATGCAATCCTGTAACCGACACGAAGGAGGGAGACAAATGGCTAACTTGCCAGGCAATCCATGTGCTGTCCATGGCGGGCCTGCGCAGCAGTCCGCAGAAGCGGATCAGGCTGATTGTAACCAGATGGTAGCTGGTAGTGGGAGGGGTTGACGGGACCGCTGCATGCGTGAAGGCGAGCTGCATGCTGGCAGGGACAAGTTACACGCTCTGCGCGTCCCTTCACCTGCACACTGCGCGCTAGTTGTTTTGTTGTGGCTTGCGGTCGGCTTCTCGCACTTGTTCTGCTGCGCAAAGCATTCTCCGGCCCGACGTGGCGGTCCTCACACCCATGCGGGGAGGGAGGGAAGGGGGATGGATGCAGCGCAAACCTGCACACAAGCATGCATGCACGGTACCGGCATGTGTGACGCACATGCACGGGCTGGTGCACATCCCTTACCGGTATACGCACCTGACCGCCACAAGATGAGGGAGCCAGTGCACCTTCGCACCACCCGTCATGCCTGCATCTCTTTCCAGGCGTGGCGTGAGGGGACACTACCGCCACACCTGTAGCCTGACTAAGCACGCAATCAAGAGTGCACATCCTCCGTCCGAGGTCGCCAGCTAGGCGGTCGCAACGGCCTCCCACAAGCGGCGGACGGCGGATCAGACGGGACACTGCGAGGGAGGGCAGGGGTGAGCAGCCTTCGCCGGGGCGAGCCGGGGCTGCCGGGGGTGCCCCAGGGGTGCTGGCAGGTAGCATGTGACTATTACAGCAGGGGAGGCGCAGTGGCACGCAGCCCGGTGGCTGTGTGCACCCGGCCTTGCAGGGTGGACGGGTAGCTGGAGCTGCAGAGCCCACTGATGTCCCACACCGTCCCCACTGCTTCGTGGTGTCCCGTACTGCCCAAGGGTCGGTCAGAAGCACCTGGCAGCCCGGCAGCCTGCGCCTGGCAGTCCACCACTTGGCTTGCAGGTGCAGGTGCTGGTGCAGGCTGCCAGGTTGTCAGGCTGCCAGGTAGCTTTGGCAGAGCGCCGGTGCCCGGCAAGCGTCAGGGGCGTCATTCTACTGCCGTTCTCTGCAGCCGATTTAGTATGTGCTGCGAGCCCGCATCCTCTCAACGCCGCCGCAATGACGTTCGGTTAGCGTCCGTTTAACTTCTTAGGGTGTCCTTTTTGGTATCGTATCCCAGTAATGTGGTTCCGGCGGGGAGAGGAGCCACTGCGCCGTGCTACATTGCTGCCGTACCGGTAGCTGACTGCGACGCGGCGACAGCTGGGATTTAAGACGCCGATGCCGAACAGAATACTTGCCAGTTATCTTACAGTTATTTACGGAGGTTTAAAGTCACTGTCCATTGTTTTACCTCCTTTCACCTTGACATCGGGTTGTTGCTACCGCGCAGTTATGCCCAAAGGATCACCCCAAACCCTCCGGCATTTCATCTATAGGTCACAGGTTCTGAGCCTGTACCGCCAGTTCGTGCGTGCTACCAGGAGCCTTGGCGGCGGGCCATCGCGAGGTAGTTACCGGAGTGCGGCTCTCTGGCCGACTGTTCACAATAGTCTACGCATCGCACTAACAAAACTAAATAAAACATAATAGGCTGCGCCGCCTGTATGACGAGCTCGCTCTTATTTGTCATGGATGCCTCGACATCAAGCTTGCACTTGCCGCTTTGCATTTTATGCCCTTCCGCAAACGCTTACACGAAGTCTTGGTCCCTCTCTGCCACAGCTGAGCTGACCCAGGAGGTGCGGCGCAACTTCGAGGCGCAGAAGCAGGTGGCCGACCTGCAGGCGAGTGACCGGCCGGACCGGCCCGTGCAACCACCCCCGACCGCGCTTGGGCCCCTTCCATCCCTTCGTTGTGCCCCTGCCATGTCCCACCACTCTCCTCCCAGCTATGATCTTTCCTTGGCGCCCGGACGCCCCTCATCCCAGCTGTCTCTCACCGCCCTCCGACCCCTCCTCCGAATCCTCCCCACCCCCTCTCCCTCTCCCGCCAGGCCATCAAGTTCCATCTGAGTGAGGGGCGCAAGCGACTGGAGCAGCTGCAGGTGGGGGCCGGGGGGGTAGGGGGGCAGCAGCAGGGGGTGGGTTGGGAAAGGGGGATCAAGGAGGGGCCAGGCTGCTGCGGTCGGGAGGGGGTAAAGAGGAAACAACTAACTGACCGTGCGGTCGGGGGGGGGGGCGCGAGGAGTGGTGCTCACCACAGCTGCCTTGTCCCCCCCCCCTCCCCGCTCGCTTGCTGCTGCTGCCCCGCGGGGCCCTCCTCCCTCCCCGCATGCGGCAAGTCAGGACTACCACCCTCGTACTGCCACCTCACCGCACGGCCCCCCCCTGCTGCTGCCGCTGCTGCCGCTGCTGCTGTGGTGGCCCGCAGGACATGCTTGGTCTGCAGCGCTGAACCACACTCGACCACCCTCGTGACGGCGGCAGCCGGAGCTAGGAGCGCCTGTACGGCAGCCACCCCACCCACACCACCCCACCCCACCACCCCACCATGGTGCTGGACGCCTTCCAGCAGCGCAAGGCGGGGGTGCTGGCGGGGCTGCAAGCGGACTGCGGTGAGGGGCGGGGGGGAAGGGAGGAGGAGGGCGGGGGAGGGGGGCGGGAAGGAGCTTGAAGGGGAGGTGAAGCTGGAGACCTAGCGGGGGAGGGGGAGGGGCCGGGCAGGCGGGCTTCACAGCGATGGGGGAGCCCTCCGCACTGGGAGCACCTGGGGGGCTGCGTGGCGGCGACTGGGAGGCTGGGTGATGGTGGCGGTGGCGGTGGTGGCGGTGGCGGTGCTCGTGTGGCATGTGCACCGCTGGCTGGGTGGTCAGCTGCAGCTCCCGCGCCCCTCCCCCGGGCTGACCGGTGCCGTACAGCCCTCCCCCACCCCACCGCACCCCACCGCCCCAACCCGTCCCTCCCTCCTCCTCCCCCCCCCACCCCCCGCAGGCGACAAGTCCCGCAAGGGCAGTGTGGACGCCCCTGTCGCCGGTCTGGTGTCGCGCCTGAACGGGCACCCGGCGCTGTACACCACCAGCAGCTGCAGCGGCCGCATCAGCGTGTTCGGGGAGCCCACGGAGGAGGGGCGGGCGGGAGGGCGGAAGGGGGGCGAGTGGGTGTATGCGAGCCACGAGGAGGCGAGCGAGGAGGTGAGGCAGGCGGGGGCGGGGGGGCGGGGACGAGGGGGATGAAGGGAGGCAGAGGACCGGGGGGCGAGTAGCCGGAAGAGGGGGGTCGGGCGCTCGGCGCACTGCCGCTGGGTAAAGGCCCTGTCGCCCCTCTGCATCTGCCTACCGCCGGCCCACCCCTAACGCCCACGCAGCAGCTGTGGCGGCTGTAGTGACACGGCTGAGTACGTCCTTACCCTCTCCCGTTCCCCCCCCCCCCAAACCCTGCGGATTCTGTTTCCAAATTACCCCCAAACCCTCGTTGCCCCCCCCCTATTGCCCCCCCCCCCATCTCCCCCAGGAAGTGCTGTCCTCCATCCACTCGCGCAGCTGCTCGGGAGACCGACTGGTGCTGCGGTTCGAGCCCTTCATACTGCACCTGGAGGTGTGTTGGGGGGAAGGGGGGGAGAGGGGGGAGGGAGGGGGGAGCGGGGCGGTAGGGCGCTACGGGGCTTGCATGGGGGAGGAATGCCCTCTAGTGGGAAAGGGGCGCTGCGAGGAGGAGGCCGGCCGTGCCTCATCCATGTGCGGGTCGCTACCGGGGGCGGAGGAGTCGTCGCCTCACTGCTGCGGCGGCGCTCGCCCCGCCCGCCCTCCCTGTACACTTACCTGTACCCTTACCACCCCCCTCTCCACCGCCTCCCCCCTGCAGGCCAGCAACGCCGCCTGGGGTCAGCGCGTGCTGGCGGCGGCGCGTGCAGCGGGGTTCCGGGAGAGCGGACTGACCCTTGGGTCGGGCGGCAGGCGCGTCATGGTACGTACACCCGCCTGCCACACGTGCAGACAGCCCCTTGTACCCCTTTGGACCCCCATGAGAGTACACAACTGAACTTGTTCCCGTCTTTCTGCTTCTGTGTATACCCCCAAGCTCCCATCCTCGCTTCCACATCCGCACAACTCTCATCCCCTCCCTGCCTCCCCCTCCTCTCCCCCCTCCTCCCCCCACCCAGGTGGCCATCCGCTGCTCCCTGCGCCTGGAGGTGCCGGTGGCTGACGGCGGCTGCGTGCTGGTGTCCGACCCCTACCTGCGCTACCTGGTGGCACTCGCCAACCACAAGTTCAGGGACAACAGCCGCCGCATCGCACGACTGGAGGCGGAGCTGGAGGCGGCACTGGGGGGGCGCGGGGAGGAGGGAGTGAGGGGAGATGGACCCATGGGTCGCTCGGTGGTCCGCGGCGGTAAGAAAAAGGGTGGTAGTGCGGAGGAGAATGGGGCGGCAGGGGAGCGGCCGGAAGTGCTGGCAGTGGCGGCGCCGGCAAGGCGACGTGGCGGCGCAGCAGCGGCGGCGGGAGGGGCGGATGGTGGCAGTACGGCAGCGTTGGACCGGTTGCGGCGGCGGCAGGCGGGGGTGTTGGGGCGCGTCAGGGCGCTGGAACTGCGGCTGGGGGTGGTGGCGGAGGGGGGGACGGAGGCTGCCGGTAAGGTGCAGGCAGCAGGGGTCGCGGGGGCGGGCGGCCGCAGGGGGGGCAGCGGAGTGCGGCAAGCGAGCAGCGCTGCAGCGGGCGCCGCGGGAGGGCGAGCAGCGGTGAGGGGGAGGGATGTGGCGGCGGGGTCCGCAGCAGGCGCTGCTTCCAACCCGCCGGCTACTGCCGCAACGGTAGCGACGGCAGCAGCTCTTGGGGTGCAGGAGGGGAGGACAAGCCGGCTCACAGCGGTGCAGGCGGCCCCGTCTGCTGCTGCTGCTGCTGCTGCCGCTCCTTCTGCTGCTCCTGCTGCTGCTGCCGCTGCTGGTGGTGGCGGTGGTGGGGAGCTGCGGTGGCAGCCGGTGCCCCTCTCACTGGGACAGGTGGGGGAGCCGCGCACGGGGTCACCGGGGGGTCGCGATTGCAGTGGGAAAGGTACTCCGTTGGGACTTCGGTGGGCCGGGCACCCGCCTATTTGGTAATAGCATCGGCGTTTCCCTTACCGAACCCTGGCCTTACCGAACCCTGGCGTTCCATGTCACAACATGTCGGTAACACACTCACCCCCCACCTCCACCTCCGCCCCCACCCCACCCCCGCCTCAGGGCTGTGTGGACGACGCCGTACCCCGCTGGGGCCACGCGAGTGTCGTACAGGGCCCCCGCATCTACCTGATCGGGGGGTACGGCGGCGGCGGCGCACACGCCCGGCGCAGCGACGTGCTGCAGTACGACACCTCCTGCCGTACCTGGCAGGCGCTGACGCTGGCCGGCTCGGCGGCTCCCTCGCCGCGCATGGGGCACACGGCGGTGCTCATTGGCGGCAGCAGCGGCAGTGGCGGCAGTGGCGGCAGTGGCGGCAGTGGCGGCTACATTGTGCTGATCGGCGGGCGCACCAGTCCGGTGGACGCGCTGAGCGACGTGTGGCTGCTGGACCTGGCGGCGCGGGTGTGGGTGCGCCTGCAGCCGCAGGTGGACCCGCGGGACACGGCGGGCGGGGGCTGCACCGCCGCCGCTTCGTTCCCGGGGCGATACCGGCACTCGGCGGTGGCCGTACCGCCTCCGCCGCCTCCGCCGGGGTCGCCTGAGGCGGTGGGGTCGAGTGGCAGCAGCAGCAGCACCAGCAGCTCGCTGGCCGGGTGGCGGGTGGTGGTGTTCGGCGGGCGCAATGCGGATGCGGTGCTGGGGGACACGTGGGTGCTGTCGCGGGATGCTGCCACTGCAGCCAGCAGCGCTGCTGACTGCGACGTGTCGCGGGGCTGGCGGTGGCGGCGGGTGGCTGCAGCGGGTGCTGCTGCGCCCTGCCCGCGCAAGTCCCATGCGGCGGCCTACGTGCCCGCCAGCGCCCTCAACCCCACCGCCTCCCCCACCTCCTCCTCCTCCTCCTCCTCCTCGGGTTGCATGTACCTGCACGGCGGCACGTGCGGGTACGGACAGCACTTCTCCGACACCTGGGCCCTGTGCCTGGACTCCTACTGCTGGCGGCAGCTGGGCGGGGGGACTGGGGAGGGGGCGGCGGCCGGGGCGGGTGGTGGTGGGGGTGGTGGTGGCTCGGAGGCCGCCTGTCCGCCCGCCTGCTTCAGCCACACGCTGAGCCTGTGGGGCTCCCGGCTGCTGCTGCTGGGCGGCTGCCCCACCCGCCACCACCAGCAGCTGCACCTGCTGGACTGCCGCACCGGGAGGTGGGGGGTGGTGGGCACGGAGCTGGGGACGGAGCTGGCAGCAGGTGCCCAGCCCGCCGCCCCCGCTGCTGCTGGTGCTGGTGCAGCTGGTGCTGGTGCAGCTGCCGACTCGGCGGCCGCCACTGCGCCGGCAGCAGCAGCAGCTGCCCCCGCCCCCACAGCCCCCTCCACAGCTCCCGACTTCGTGCCCATCCGCCACTGCGCGGAGGTGGTGCGCACCGGCAGCGGGGGGCAGCAGGAGGGGGTGGGGGAGGGGGAGGAGGAGGAGTGGCTGTACCTGCTGGGCGGGGGCGCCTTCTGCTTCAGCTTCGGCACGCTGTTCGGGGGTGTCTTCCGGCTGCTGCTGAGGGGGCGGGGGGAGGGGGCGGGAGGCATGTCGCTGGCGGAAGTGCTGGGACGGCAGCAGCAGCAGGAGGAGGGGTCCCAGCAGCCTGGGGGCGCCGGTGCGGTGGATCCGGGCAGTGCCGGGACCGCCGGGGGTGCTGCTGCTGCTGCTGCTGGTGGTGGTGGTGGTGGTGGTGGTGGTGTGAGTGCCGAGTGCGGTGACGGCAGTGACAGCGGCGGCAATGGTTGGGTGGTGGTGGTGCCGGCGGGGGCGGCCAAGGCAGTGAAGGACGCGCTAAAGGCGGGGGGGCTGCTGGACGCGAGCAGGCGGGGCGGCGCGCAGGCGGGCGGGGGGGCGGAGGCGGCGGGCGGAGGTGGTCGGGTGGTGGTGCTGCCGGTCACCCAGCAGGCGGTGCGGGTGCTGGGGGGAGCTGGGGGCGGAGGGGGCGAGCTGGTGGCGGTGCTGGCGGAGGCGGGTGCGCAGGTGAGTGGGTGGGTGGAGTACCGGTGCTGGGGGGTGGGGGATTGGGAGGGGCGTCCCACCTGCCCTGCCGTGGCGGGTGTCCGTGCTCCCTCCAGCACGCCGTGTTGCTTCCGTTGCGGTGCCGCTGTCACATGCGACCTCCTAGCTGTACCCTGCGTGCCTCGCCTCGCTGCACTGTTGGCTACCCCAACCTTCTAATTCTCCTCCCCTTCTCTTCCCCTCCTCCCCTCCACCCCCCCGCAGCTCACTCGCGCCTCCCTGCCCCCCGCTTCCAAGGTCCCCACCAGCCCCGCGCAGCGCCTCAGGGACGCGGCGGCCGCACTGCTGCAAACCGCACTCACCTCCCCCTCCTCCTCCTCCTCCTCCCCCTCCTCCTCCTCCTCCTCCTCCTCTGCTGCCGCCCTGCTCCCCGCGCTGCTGTCCGACCTGCCGGCCCGCTGGGAGCGGCTGGGCGATCTTGCGCTGCTGCCCGCCCCCGCACTCACCCACCCGGGCTGGAGGGCCGCGCTGGCACCGCTGGCAGCGGGAGGCAGCAGCGGGGGCGAGCAGCAGGAGGAGGTGTTGCTGCCGCTGTGGCGGGCGGTGGCGGGGGCGCTGGGGGTGGAGCGGCTGGCTCGGCAGGCGCCCGTGGCCAACACGGGTGAGGGGGGGAGGGAAAGGGGGGAGAGGAGGATGTCGTATGATACGTGTATTTGCACTATGTGCGCGCAAAGGCAGAGCGGGGAGGAGAGCACTCTCCCTCTCTCCCTCCACCGGCCTCCACACACCAGCGCGGAAAGCACCCCTCAGCAATGAGGGCCCCATGCCGCCCGCAACCGCCCCGGACGGGGGCTCCTACTGCTCCCGGCCTCTACCATCAGCGAGTCGGGCGGGTGCTGCGGCGCATGGGGGTAGGGCGCCTCGGAGGTACGGCAGCCGCCTCCCGCTGCAGCACCCCTCCGGTGCTGCGCGGATCAGTGGGCGGCTGCCTCAAGCACGGGGCCACATGCTGTCTGCCTTCCCCTCCACCCTTCCTCGCACTGCACGGTGCACTGCCGCATGTCCCGGGGCACCCCTGCAGCGCTCTGATGCCGGGCACCAACCCCCACATGGAGTGGCAGCACCCCTTCCATGATACATGGAGCAGCACTCACCCTCACCCTCCACCGCAACTCAAGTACCTCTTGCCTCGCCCCTACTCCACAATCCCCCTTCAACCCCACCCCCCCACCTCCCTCCCCACTCCCCCCAGGCACTCGTGACAGCCGCGCAGTGCTGCTGCTGGGCTCGCACGGCTGGGTGGCGCACCGGGAGGGCGGAGTGCTCTTCCGGCTGGACGTCACCCGCTGCATGTTCTCCAGCGGCAACGTGACGGAGCGCACACGCATGGGCTGGGGCAGGGGGCTGACGCCGGCCAGCGCATGGGGGCGGACGCAGGGGCAACAGGGGGCGGCGGCGGGGGCGGAGGCAGTAGCAGGAGGCGGGGCAGGTTGCAAGGAGGGCGGTCCCGGCTGGGCTGCGGGTGAGGTGGTTGTCGACCTGTACTGCGGTATCGGCTACTACACGCTGCCGCTGCTGGTGGTGGGCGGCGTGGCGCGGGTGTTTGCGTGCGAGTGGAACCCGGCGGCGCTGGAGGCGCTGAGACGCAACCTGCAGCAACCAGTCATGCAGGCGGCGCTGGCGGCGGGAAGCGGCGGTGGTGGTGGTGGTGGTGGCAGCAGCAGCGGTGGTGCGGCCCCCCCTGCCTCCCCCGCTCTCGCTCCCCCCCCTGCTCCCGTGCTGGCTGCCGAGCGGTGTGAGGTGCTGGCGGGCGACTGCCGGGGGGCGCTGCCGCGGTTCGCCGGGCTGGCTGACCGGGTGCTGCTGGGGCTGCTGCCCTCCTCGCGGGGGGGCTGGGAGGCGGCGGTGAGGGCGCTCAAGCCGGATAGGGGTGAGAGCTAGGGGTGGGGGGAGGAGTGATTGGGCGCAATCGGGAGACGTGTTAGCTGGTTCGAAGAGGTGAGTCTGCCGCGGGAGATCGTGACGTCCTCTTTCCTGAAGCCTTTTAGCCGCTTTCTAATCTTCCGCTAGCAGTTACTGCCTCCTCGTGCACTCCCTCCTAACCCTGTTCAAACCCCTCCTCCCCCTCCCCCTCCTAACCACTCCCCCCCAGGCGGCTGGCTGCACCTGCACCACAACGTGACGGACCGCGAGGAGGCGGGGTGGCTGGCGGACACGATGCGGGAGCTGCGGCGGCTGGCGGGGCAGGCGGGGCGGGCGTGGAGCGTGAGGCTGCACCACGTGGAGCGGGTCAAGTGGTGAGGAGGAGGGGGAAGAGGGGGGGATAAGAGGAGGAGGCGAGTAGGAGGAGAAGGAGGGGGGAAGGAGGTGGGTGGGTGTTATGGGTAGGCGTGTGCTCGGAGGGAGTCTAGCTAGTCCATCACCACACACCCCGGGTGACCTATGTGTTCCCCCACTCCTCCTCCTCGCACCCCCCCCCCGAATGCAGGTACGCGCCGCACATCCGACACATTGTGATGGACATTGAGTGCCGCCCCCTGGGGGACGGCCAGCAGCAGCAGGAGGGGGAGGAGGAGGGCCGGGGGGCTACTACTGTCGCTACTGCAGAGGCCGCCGCCTCCACCACCTCCGCGTCCGCCCCTACCTCCGCCGCGGGTGCTGCTGCAGCCGCCCCTACCGGCACCTCCCTTGCCGCCCCCGCCAGCCGGCCTCCCTCCGTCCCCGCAGTGGCGGCCCCTGCTGCTGCGGAGGCAGGGGATGCAGGTGCAGGTGCCGCCAGCAGCAGCAGCGGCAGCAGCAGCGGCAGCGGCAGTGGCAGTGGCGGGCGGGAGCAGCCCCCCTGGTACCACCGCCCGCTGGATCAGCTGCCCCGCGTGCGGCGGGTGCGGGGGGTGGGCGGGCGGGAGGAGTTCGAGCGGCTCATCAGTCCGGGCAGGGAGCCGGTGGTGCTGGAGGGTGAGGGGGGGAAGGGGGCAGGGAGCCGGTGGTGCTGGAGGGTGAGGGGGGGGGGGAGGGGGGAAGCGGGGGGGGCGGGGGGGCGGACGACCTTACCAGCGCTTAGGAAAACACAGGTTAGGGCAAAGCAGGTCCCTACCGATACCGGGTCCGCGGTGGCGATGAACTGGAGTCGACCCTCCAGCGAGCGGGCAGAAGAGAGCTGGCTGTTGCAGTTGTCTACTGCTGTAGTGCTGTCTTGTGTGGCGGGTGGGTTGATCCCGCTGGAGAGCCCAAAGCTGCAGAATGTCTACCCCCACTTACCCCCCCCTTGCTCCCCCACCCCCAGGCCTAGACCTGGGCCCTGCCCCCGCCAAGTGGACCCCCGACTACCTGCGCAACCTGCCCGGGGCAGCGGACATGAAGGTGGGGGGGAGGGGGGTTGTGGGGGTGGGAGAGTAAGTGGGCGGTGATGTCCTCTGGTTGTGCCCTGCGGCTGTCTCGCCGGGGCTGGATGGTTGGCGGCCGGCAGCAGTGTGTGTACGGCCAGCAGCGCCCAACACCCCTCCCAACCCACCCCCCCAACCCCACCTCCCAACCCCCAGGTGAGTGTGCATGTGAGCCGCGAGCCCTCCGGCCGCCTGGACTTTGTTCGCAAGAACTTCGCCTTCCGCGTCATCAGCTTTCAGGAGCTGATAACGCGACTGACAAATCAGGCGGCAGAGGCAGCCAGCAGTGGCAGCAGCAGTGGGGGTAGCGGCGCCCCCGCAGCCAGCGGGGCAGCGGTACCAGCCGCAGCACCTGCAGCCGGGGAACAGCAGCTGGACAGCCGCGGGGGCAGCTCGCCACAAGAGGGGGGTGGTGCCGGCAGCAGCGGGGGCACCAGCGGCAGTGGTGTGTTGCCTGATCTGGTGCCCCGGGGAGCGCAGTTCGGGGAGGGGCGCGAGGTGCTCTACCTGAGGAGCATTGGGGAGAACCCGCGCAGGGTGGGTTGCGGAGGGTGGGGGCGGGTCGGTAATGAGATCGAGGAAGGGTACAAAAAAGCGGAAGACGGAATGGGGCCTGCTCTGCCTTCACCTCCTTCCAGTTGTACCCTCCACCTCCCCCCCTCCCACTACCACACATGGCTGTTCACCCTCTTCCCTTCCCCCCTCCTCCCCTCCCCTCCCCCCCTGCAGGAGGCCGCCAACCTGTCCGCCTCCTTCCCGCTGCTGGCCGCCGACCTGCGCCTGCCGCCGCTCTTCCCGCCCTCCGCGCTGCACAGCAGTGTGCTGCGGCTGGGCAGTCCGGGGCTGGTGCTGTGGACGCACTACGACGTGATGGACAACCTGCTAATACAGGTGGGGGGGGATGGAGAGGAGGGAGGGAAGAGGAGGGGGAGGGGAGGGGGGTGGCGTGTGACCCACAGGCATTGCGGATGGGGGCGATAAAGCCACTGTGCATGACCATGTCGCATTTGAAGGGGGAGCTCAGGCACCTCAAACTAAGGGGCGCGCCACGCCGGGCGGGCCTAGGACCTCTCTCTCAACCTCTCCTCCCCTCCCCTCCCCTCTCCCCCCCCCACCTTGCCAGGTGACGGGCACCAAGCGGGTCCTGCTGTGGCCGCCCGCCTGCCACGACGCGCTTCACGTGACCGGCTCCTCCTCGCCCATCACCCGCCCGCAACCCGACCCCGACCTGACCGCCTTCCCGCGCTTCGCCGCCTGCCCCGCGCCGCTGCTGGCGGACCTGGCGCCGGGTGACGTGCTGTTCCTGCCCAGCCTGTGGTTCCACAACGTGACCACCACGGGGGGGCACATGAGCGCCAGCGTGAACGTGTTCTGGAGGCACCTGCCGCAGGAGGTGAGGGGGGGGGGGGTAGAAATAAGGAAAACAGACGCACTTTAGAAGGGAAGGGGGAAAGAGGGAGGGGGAAGGGGGGCGTGGTGGAGGTGGGAAGGGCCTGCCGGAGGCTGCCTACACCGCACTGGGTGTTGGCACTGCGGCTGCCGGTTGCGGGGCTGGAGGGGGGGTGCACTGGGGGGGCGGTACGCTCGCCTGCTTTCCCACGGCTGTGGCATGCCGGTGTGGTTTCCCCGCCCCTGCTAACACGGGCCGCCCCTACCCCCCCCCACTCGCAGTTCTACCACAAGAAGGACCTCTACGCCAATCGAGACCTGGTGCAGGTGGGTGGGGGTGGGGGGAGGTGGTGGGTGGGTACGGGGTACAGTTTGCTTTCCATGTGTCTTGACTCTTATAAGACTTAAGGATAGCACGACGATAACAACTTGCCGCAATACCCCCGCGCAACCCCCACCCCGCGCAACCCCTCCGCTGCTCCCTCCAGGCTGAGGAGGCGGACAAGGCGGCTGATGCGGCTCTCGCCCAGCTGTCGCAGCTGCCCGAGCACTACCGCGCCTTCTACGGAGCCCGCCTGCTGGGGAGGCTGGGCCGGGAGCTGGGGCTGAGCGCGTGAGAGGGGGTGCATGGCCGGGTGGACTGCTGGGTGGTTCGGGGGGGAGGGTGAGTGTCGGTGCGGGATTGCAGGGTGCAGGGAGGGTGGGGTGCGTGATTGCGGTAGTCAGTGGCCACACGGTCGTGGGGCTGTGTGGAGGGCTGTGTGTGTGGGGGGGGTGCCGCTGCTGTGGGTGCTGGTGGCAGCGGAGATGTGGGTGGGGCGGGAGGTGCTGTAGCGGGTGCAGTGGCGTGATAGGGCCGCGTTGGGATTGAATCGGTAGCTAGATGCGGTTACAGATTGGAGTCGTGATACCCAACACAAGGGAAGGTGGGGTACGAGCGGGTCGTAAGCAACCCGCGCCTTGATGGGGTACCGTACCCCGGGGAGTGATCAAGCAGCTGTAAATTGCAATGTCAAGTACCGGTGTGTCCAGAGGTCAGCCGTACCGCACGGCCGTTAGCACGCACATGGGTGAATCAGCAATAGCCAGACATACGGCAAAACCCAGTACGCACGCCATTAAGCCACTCCACAGCTCGGTGCCACATCGGCATTTAAACATGTGAAATGTGTGCGCGAGAGGGGGTCATCACGTCATTCATGTAGGGGACGTCATTCATGCGGTATGTGTCAGTCTTCCTCCCACAAAGAACCATGCCCATGCCACAAAGTAACGCTGCATGCCTAATCTGTACAGTACGACGAACAAGCTCTCAACTACACTAGCCCCCTCTCCCCCCACCGCGCCGACGACCACCCTCTCATCAGCTCCAAAACCAACCCCCCAGCCCCGGGAATAAAGCCCTGTGCCGCCGCAGCCCCCATGACGCCCCCAGCCCCCCAGCTCCACCCTCCCATCAGCTCCCTTCTCCTCCTCTTCCCCCTCTCAGTCCGACAGCGAGCACAGCATGCACACGCCCCTCAGCGTCCAGTGCCACTGCGGGCGGGCGGAGGGCATGCGGATCATCATCAGGAAGTTGGTGGAGTGCCCGGTGGTGGCCAGCACGCCCTTGCGCTCCGCGGTGCGGTAGACGGGGCAGTCGTAGGCGCTGTCCTCGGAGAACTGGTCGGCGGGGCGGGGCTGCAGCCACACCACCGGGGCGGCCTCGAACAGCACCTGGGCGGGGGAGAGGGACGAGGGGGCGAGGGAACGGGGACGGGAGGGGGAACCACGTCAGTAGGGAGACGCGAGTGAGACGCAGGGAGGCCGGCAGCAGCATGGAGGTTTCCGCTACCGTGCACATGGATTCAGCAGTGGATACAGCACGATACACACCACCGATACACGCAATGAAGGTCGAGGTATCGGCAATGCGCCGGCAAGGCAACCCCGCGTCGCCCCCTCCCGCCCTACCTTGGGTCGGCTCTCGCACAGCTGCCGCGCGGTGGGGTCCCAAGCGCAACCCTCCAGGAACAGCCCGTGCACGTACGCGCCGTCCTCGGGCGGGGTGGGGTAGGCGGCGGGGTCGGTACCCATCATCACAAAGTCGAACCCAACCGTGTCGATGGGCAGCTTGTGCTTGCGAGCGTAGTTCTGGCAGGCGGAGGGCGGGGTGGGGGGTGGGGGGTGGGGACAAGAGGGGAAGTGTGCCGGTTAGATATCGCAAACGTCAAGACCTTGCATCCATGCTCCATGCCTCAGCCGCTCTGGGGACCAAGGGGATGCCAAGCCGCCAACACGCAGCTTTGCTGTGTGTCAGTTCATATGGGCGCCCGGAGGCCGCTGCCCCCTTCCCCCTTTCCCCTTCCTTTATGGGATTGGGACTCGTTGTTTCACTCATACAATTCCCCCCCCCGCCCCCCCGCCCACCTGCAGCGCCGCTGTGGTGAAGGAGGGCGTGAAGAAGAAGCCCGACAGCCAGAACACCGCGGGCGGGCCCTGCTCGTACCAGCTCTGCAGCATGGCCAGCCGCGCCAGCAGGTCCGCCACGTAGGAGGCAAGCGGCTTGAGCGAGGGGAAGGACTTGCTGCGCCACAGCGCGGGAACCTGACCCAGAGCCATGGACCTGTGCGTGTGTGTGTACGGCAGCGGGAGCGCAAGGGAGGGAGGACACGTCGGCACCTGGTGGCTGGACAGCCGCCGCCGTACGGCCCTATGGGCTGCACGAGCAGGGGTTCCTTTCTTTCTTTCCAAACCCTAACATGCCTCCCTCCCTCCCGGGCTAATATCATCTGGCTGTCGTTACCGGTACCTTTGCCAACCTGGTCTACGTCTTTTCCCCCACCCTCTGCCCCTCTTCTTCCCCCTCCCTCTCCTCCTATGGTGAAGCCTTGTCATCCAGCTCGTTAGTTGCCTCATCAGTTTCTCCTTTACTCCCCCCCCCTCTCCCCCCACCTGAGCACCGTGTCCAGCTCCGCCGACAACACCTGCAGCCCGCTCAGCGCCTTGCCCAGGCTGCTCAGCGAGGCGCGGATCACCGCAAGCAGCCGATTGTACCGCAGCATCTCCTGACACAGCACCTGGTTCAGACTCTCCTCGTAGCGAACCGGGTAGCGCGCCTGCGCCTTCTCCACGTCGAAGTTGGGCGGCAGGCGGCGCAGGATGTCCTCCACCATGGCCCCCACCATCTCCTCCTCGTTAGCGCCGCCGCCGCCTCCCCCGCCCCCGCCGCCGCCCCCTCCGCCGCCCGTCAGCACCAGCGTGTCCAGCATGCCGGCGGTCTCCTGCAGGTCCTTGGTGATGTCCGCGTTCTCGTGCAGCCCGAAGGCCTCGGGCAGAGGGAAGATGGGCAGGCTGGCGATGTAGGCGAGGTAGGAGTCGTGGGGGCCCTCGGGGGGGATGTAGTAGGTGCCTGCGAGGGGAGGACGGGGCGGGGGGGGAGGGGAGGGGTGTCATCCTGCGCAGGCGGAAGGAGAAACTGGGCTAGTAGGTGCCATGACGGTACCGGCGTCTGCGGTACTACAATACCATCATGTCCCTACCCCACAACCCGCGGCTCGCCTCTCCCTCCTCCCGCTCCCCTCCCCCCAGGCCCCACCTGACGCGCTCAGCCTGAACGGCTCCTCGCCCTCCCCCGCCAGCGCCTCGGGTCTGTAGATCCGCTGCAGTGCCGTCAGCAGCAGCCGGCGGTCCTTGTCGTCCGTCACACGGCCGCCGTAGTTGCACTCTCCAATGGCGTAGCTCAGCGCGGCGAAGGGCACGGAGGCGGCGGACTGCGGCGGCGGGGCGCCGTCCTCGCCGGGGGGCGGCGCCGCGTCGTCCAGGTACATGTGCAGCTGGCGCACACTGATGCGCAGGTCGCCGTCGTCGAAGCCTGGGGGAGGAGGAGGAGGGAGGGCAGGTGGGTGGGGGTATAACGGAGGTAACGGTACAAGGTTCAACTCTTTAGGTCTGGGACCTCAACTTGCGGTGCGAGGTCCTGTAGCCGTACGTCTTGGATGTGGAGGTCCAAGGTACAGGAGCAGTGGAGCCCCATCATGCTACCGCAACAGCGGCTTCAAATCCTCAGCCCCAGGGAATCCTCCCCCCTTCCCCCCAAGCCTGTAGCACGCACCGTAGGGGATGTTCCAGCCGATGGGTCCGAACTTGCGCCGCTCCTGCACGAAGGCGTGCAGGAAGCACAGCCCGAACAGCAGCGACTTGAAGGCGCCGGGCTGACGGCAACCTTGGGGAAGGAGGGGGAGGGGGTGCAGCGGGCAGGGGGACAGGGCGGCTCGGTGTGTGGCCTGTCTAACACAACACTGCGCTGCCATCACGCGTAAGGGCAGTAGCCTAGGGTTTCCACAGGCTGCACCCCCAGTCCCTTTCGAAACGTCCTTCTACCAAGAAGCGTACGAGCCCTGCGCATGAGCCCTACACAAGAGGACACCCCACCCCGCCCCGCCCCCCCGCCCACCCACCCTCGAAGAAGTCTGTGTTGCAGATGGGCTCCAGCGCGTAGGAGCGGCGCAGGTTGGCTCGCAGCCCCGCAGGCGGCTCGTTCGTCATCTTGACGCTGCCCTGCGGGACAGGAAACACACAGCGGGAGGCGCAGCAGCAGCCGTCAACACCCCTCCGCGACATGAGACACAGGGCTCGGGGGTTGCGACACATGGTGGCAGGGGGGCCGCAGTCACTGCATCTCCGTGCGCCAGCAATGCGTACAGGGTAGCGTATAGCTTGCATGCTCGCAGCGCCATCCCCCCCCCAACCCCAACCCCAGCCCCAGTTAGTGTCTTCCTCCTCCCTCCCCCCGCCCCGCCTGCCCTGCCGACCTGCAGAATGGAGACGGGGAAGGCGGGACTGGGCATGGAGGTCATCCATAGCCTGAAGTCCGCGTCCGTGTTGTCGGGGCGGATGGTCTCGCAGATCTTCTCCAGACTGGTCATCCAGCTGGGGGCAAGGTGGCAGTTCTGGAGCAGCACCCAACTGGGGGTGGGGGGGGACGGGGGCAGCAGCAGCGGGGGGAGCAGCGGATCAGATCCACATCAGCGACAGAAGAGGAATGGAGCTGGCACCACGTTTCGTAACAGTGGGTGCCCTCATTTCACCGTAATACCGTATCAATCAAGCGACCAGCACAAGCGAAAAAGGCAAGGGTTGTCGGATACCAAGTGCTAGCGAAGCAAGCGAGCCCCCCCTCACACGCCACCACTCACGTGCCGGCCTTCCTCGCCGTCTCGATGAGCGCCGCCGCCTTGGGCCCCTGCCCCTGTCCCATGCTGATCACCGCGATGCGGCTGCCGTACCCCCGCGACTCCGCGAACTGCAGCAGCGCCGCCGTGGGGTCGGACCCCGGCGACAGCACGAAAAGCAGCGGCACGTTGCAGCTGCTCTCATCGTAGGAGCCCGCTAGGTCGAAGGGCGGCGGCTCCGTGAAGCGCGGCCCCAGCGAGGAGGCCACGAAGTGCTGCACCGCGGGGACCACCTTGTCGGGGCGCAGCATGCGCAGCAGCAGCACCTTCTGGAAGGGACCCAGCCGCTCGCTGAAGCCTAGAGGCAGCTCCATGTTCTGATGATGGGGGTTGGGTGGGGGGGAGGCGGCATTAGGAGGCAAGCAGGGTGAAAACACTGACAAGGTTGGCATGCATCGCAGTTAGATCGAAGAAGACGGTTGGATCGAGATATTGCGCGGTGTACTAACCCTAAGCCGCTGCGCCTCCCCCCCCCCCCATGCCCCCCCACCTGCGGCTCCACGCTGTCGAACAGCGCCTTCCACTCGTCCGGGCACCCAGCAATCATCTCCGGCAGCCCCTCGAACGCGGGACACACGTTGGGTGCGCGCAGCAGCTCGCCCCACGCCTTGGCGCTCAGCCAGTCCGCCCCCTCGGGCCGCGCCACCTCCCGCTCCGGCACCCCCACCCCGCCGGTGAGCAGGAAGGTGTAGAGCTGCGGCTCCAGGCGCCCCTCCGTGCCGGCCATGGAGGCGCTCATGGATATGCGCGCGGAGAGCAGGAAGGCGAACAGCAGCTTGTCCTTCTCAAACAGGGACCTGCGGGTGGGGGGGGGGGGGGGGGGGAGGGGAGCGAAGGGGGCAGGAGGTGAGGAGGCGAGGTGGGGGGCAGGTGAAAACAGCCGCGGTGGGCCACCAGGACAGAAGGCGCATGCGGCGGTGCGGGTGGCGGTGCATGCTGCCCTGCCCCGTCATCCCCGCCCCCCCAACCCCCGCCGCCCCCACCTGCATATGTTCTGGTAGAGCGCGTAGGTGAAGTGGTCGTTGATGTTCCGCAGCCGCTCCGCCACATCCTCCGCGCGGGGGGCCTGGGGGGGGGAGGAGTGGCGGGGGGGACAGGGGTACGAGGGGAGGGGGTTAGCAGGATTACCTCTTAACCTAACAACCACTCGGCCTAAACACCGTAACAACAACATACCGGCCCCCCTCCCCCTCCGCATCCAACACATTGGGATTTCTTCTTTCCCCGCCCCCCCACCTGCTGCCCCCCCACCTGCTGGATGGACCTCACGAACAGCTTGAGGAACCATGCCAGGCTGTACTGGTACATGGGGTCCACGGCCGCCATGTCTCGGATGCAGAAGAACAGCGTGGCGTTGAAGGCGCCGCAGGGGGCGTAGCAGGTGCGCGCCTGCTCGATGGCTCGCTCGGTCAGCTCGGCGGCCTGCTGCTTGATCTGGATCTCGTTGGAGACCGCCTTGGCCTCGGACAGGATCTGGATGGCGGTAGCGTCCTCCAGGATGTTACCCTGGGGGGAGGGGGGGAGGGGAGGGGAGGGGAGGGGGGCGGGGGAGGGAGTTAGGGCTGAAAGGGAAGTGGTGAAAGGGTGGGGGGACTGCTAGCCCCCCCCAGGTTGCAGGGCCGTGCATTACGGTGTGTATGCGGCCCCACGGAACTACCCCCCTCCCTTCCCTCCCCTGTGCTCCCCCCCCCCGCTCCCACCACACGCTCCTACCTGCGAGGAGGAGAGCACCTGCAGGATGCGGTCCTCGATCTCCGCCAGCCTCTTCTTGTTCTCGGCGCTCTCGACAACCTGGGGGGAAGGGGGGGGAGGGGGGCACACATACACCAGGCGGTTTCAACATCATGCTTAGCGCATTGCAGGAAAGCAAAACCTCATACCCCTTCACACATCCTCTCTCTCCCCCTCCAACATCGCCCCCTCACAGCCGCTGCCCCCCCCCCCTCTCCCCCACCAGCTGCTGCCGCTGCTCCTCCAGGTCGGGTCGCTCCTGCGCCACCACCACCCCCAGCAGCTGGTCCGCCAGCCCGTCGGGGGTGATCATGAAGTTGAGCAGCGTCACCTTGACGGCTGTCTCGGGCAGGTAGTGCGGGTTGCGGAGCGCAGTGGTGATGTAGAACCTGACAGGGGGGGAGGGGGCGGGAGGGGGATAGGATCAGCCACAACTAAGATTTGATGGGCTGGGAGGAAGTGGTGGGCAGGCAGGCAGGCAGGGAGAGGTGGTGGTGGTGGTGGGCAGCTGAAGACAGATCAAGCGGCGGGAAGGGTGTGGGCCGCATGTCGACAGCGCTCACGACCGCTCTCCCCCCTCCCCCCCCCTTTGCCTCCCCGTCCGCCCACCTGAACTGGTCGGAGAACTCCACTGTGGTGTCGCCCAGCCGCAGGTAGGACACACCGCCCTGCTTGAACACCTGGGGGGGGAGAGAGGGAAGGGGGCAGGGGGGGGAGGGCAGTGCGCTGTGTGTTTTGCCTTGTCAGCAGCTCGTAAACAGCAACCCGGTACCGACAGGCTTCCAGCGACGACCCGCAAGGGCCAACCAAGCGCGCCCTGATCACCCAAAGCCAGATCGTACAATCCATCCTGCTCTTCCATCCTCCTGCACTCCCCCTCCTTCCCTCCCCCCCCCTGGTGAAGCCTTGTTATACAGCTCGTTAGTTGCATTGTCAGCGTCTCTGTGTTTCCCTTACCCCCCCTCCCTCTCCCCCCTGCCCCCCCACCTGCTTCAGCAGCAGCGGCTCCAGCGAGGGGTCCAGCTCCTCCCCCACGTTCTCCAGCAGCACCGGCAGCCCGAACTGCACCGCGTTCTCCAACGTGCGCATGTAGTCGCCGTCAGTCAGCTTGATCACACGCAGGTCGCGCCGCCCCTCCATGCTCTTGACCCACTTGTTGGCCTGGGGCAGGGGGGGTGCAGGGGAGAGGTGGAGGGGTGGAGGTGGATGACGGGGGGACATACGCGCGCGTGCGAGGGGGGGTGAGTAAGGAAAGGTCCGCCCTCAGGGAACACCCATTACATCTAGCGCAGCGAGGGAGCTGGCCTTTCCCTTGTGTCCCCGTGTGTCCACCCCCCCGCCCCCCGCCCCCCCCCCCAACGTACCTGCGACTGCGGGTCGATCATCAGCGGCCAGCGCCGCGCATTGGCCACCATGATCGCATTATCAATGGAGAAGGCGTCGTTGGGCAGCCCGTCAATCGTCCAGGAGCGGATCTTCACGGGGTCGCCCAGCGCCGCGGAGAGACTGAAGTTGGCGCTGCGGGGTATGCGCGCTGCCGCGCAGCCGCCCACCCACTTGCCCACCACTTGCTCCCGGTACGCTGCTGTGAAGGCGCCCAGGTAGCCGATCACCCCCGCCGCGATCAGCATGTCGCCTGTCAGGCACTCGTACTGCCCGCCCAGCTGCGCGGCCGCCTCCGTCCACCGCGTCTTCTCGCCGCCCAGACCGCTGATCAGCTTCTCGGCGCGCTCCAGCTTGGCGGTGCACAGCTCGGTCTCAGCTGCGGGGGGTGGGGTGGGGTGGAGGGGGGGAGGGGGGGAATGATGATACATGGTGACGTGAGATGTGCTTGGGGCGCTCAATAACCCTTTCCCCGCCCAAGATGTACGGCAGCAAGTTCGGCCCCCTGCCCCCACGCATTTCCCTTCCCCCTCCCGCTCCCACCCTCCAGCCTGGACTTCTCCGCCATGCTCCGCTCCAGCTGTCGCTCCAGGGTGGCCAGTCGCCCCATCACCTCAGCCAGGTCGGCTTGCTTGGCCTGACGGAGGGGGAAGGGGGGAGGGAATGAAGAGAACAGCAGAGGAGGAGGAGGAGGCACCCGTTGGGAACAGCTGTGCGGTTGCTTTCACCCTCCGGGTGAACAGCACAAAGTGTCCAACACATGACGAGTACTGCGGAAGCCACATCACCACCACCCACACCCCTCACCTCCCTCTTCCCTGCTCCCCCCCTCCCCTCCCCCCCCCTCCCCCCCACCTTGAGCGCGTCCATGACCTTGCCGTACTCCGCCTCCGCCACCGCCAGCGCCTCCCGCTTGGGCGCCACCACCTTGGCCACCCGGTCGTACTGGTCCATGGCGCACACCCACTTGCACAGACCCTCAGCGGCACTGGGGGGGGGAAGGGAGGGGGAGGGGAGGGGGGGGGTTATGAGGAAGGTGCTTACTAGGTGACGGTGGCTAGGTGACGGCGGCTGTAGCGCAGGGGCGTCGCTCGCTGAATAGCATTACATGGCGAGCGGCAACTTGAACCATCCACCCCGTGCAGGTGCCCACCCTCGGCGGTGCAGGTGCCGCAGACCCCACCCCCACCCCACCCCACCCCCACCCCCACCCCACCTGGATGCCTTGGCCGCGTTGTTGGGGGTGAACTCGGGGTTGGAGGTGAACTCGCGGCGGATGCGCTCGATGATGCGGGGCGGCACCGCATCCTTGTCGTACTCCTGGGGGGTGGAGCGGGCACAAGGGGGGGTTGGAAGCCTGCGTCAAACCATGAGTCAAGCAAATAGCTGGGCGTTTCCTTCCAGTCTCTGCGCACCGCAGCCGCATGCAGCGCACCCTCTCACACACCCCCCACCACCTTGAGTGTCTTCACGAACAGCGGGTCCGCCAGTAGCTTCTGCGCGGAGCCCCAGTAGTCGTCGATCATCTTGCCGCTGCCGCTGGGGTCCTTGATCCTGCGGGGTACGACAGGGAGGGGCGGGGCAGGGCGGAGACATGCACAGTCGGCACCCACACACCATCCAGGCGGTTGCCACGCTGTACAGGTATTGGATGCGATGCGGGGCGGACAGCCGCACACCCACCCCCGGAGGTTCGGCCCCACTGGCCCCCTTCATCCCTCCCCTCCCCCCCCTGCCTGCTACCTCTGTGGCTTTATGTCCAGCAGCACGCACACCGCCTCCATGACCAGCTTGATGGTGGAGGGCGGGTTCTTGAAGCTCTGCACCAGCTTGATGTCGGCGGGCTTGATGGTGTCAAGCGCGCTGATGGCGGCCTGGGGGGGGGGAGGGGGAGGGGATTGAAAAGGAGACCATACCGAGAGGGGGGAGGGGGGGAGTGGAGACACAAGGTGGGTGATGGGGGAGGTGCATGCAAGGCGCCCATGCAGCAACCGCTGTTTGGGGGTTGCCAGCAGCAGCCACACGAAACACCGCACAACAGCCACACAAGCAGTATCGCAAGCACCTCCTCCCTCCCCTCCACTCCCCACCTCCAGGATGGGAATCGCCTCCGCCAGCGCGTCCTCGCACTCCGTCTTGATGGCGTTGGCTGCCGCCGCAGCGCCCTCCGCGCGCTTCACGTCCTGGTCCACAATCGCCTTTTTGGGCTCAACAACCTGGGGGAGGTGGGAGGGCAGGGGGGGCAGAGACGGGCGCAGGTACACGCACACGTCAGCAGCAGCACCCCGGGGAAGAAAGCGGCAAGCACTGAAACAGCGCGGAACCATCTGCGGCAAGAGCGCCAGTCCCCATCCAACCCTTACACCCCCCACCCCACCATCCCCCTCACCTCCGTCTTCTCCTTTGACACGGTTGCCATCAGCCGCTCCGTCTCCTCCACCGTGCGGATGAGCACCGGCTTCAGCGCCGTCAGCTCGTCCTGCATGATGCTCACCTGGCTGGCGGTGAACTGCAGCTTGTCGAGACCCACCTCGTAGCGCCGCTTGGCAGCGGACACCTACAGCAGAGGGGGGGGAGGTGGGGGGTTTCAGGGTGGGGCAGGGAGAGAACCAAACTGAACGAAACCGCTTGGGTTAGGGATAGGACAAGCCAGCGTAGGACGGCCCATGTAAGTAGTGGGCCCCCATCCCTCCACCCGCACACCCCGCCCCCCCCACCTCTGCCCGCTTTGCCCCCAGCAGTGTTGTGAAGCAGGTGATGAGCTCCAGGTAGGAGGTGGGCGTCACGTAGTTGATGCGCCCCTGCTCCGACCGGAAGGCCTCGCTCAGCTGCCGCACGTCCTCGTGGAACATCTTGCACTGCAGCATAACCTGGGGGAGGGAGGGGGGAGGGGGAAGGACGTAAGATCAAAACCGCTAACAGCACTTTACCGGCATGCATGTACGGCGGGCGGGACCAGGAGGCCCCCAGCACCGCACCCTCCCAGCTAGCACCCACCCTCCCACCCGCACATCCCCCACCTGGTTGCGCTGTTCGGGTGTGAGGTCCACATCCCGCAGGAACTTCATGGCAACCGCCTCCAGCGCGTCGTCGGGCCAGGCGGTGAACCTGGGGAGGGGGAAGGGGGGATAGAGGGGTTCAAAGACCATACGGATTGGGGGGGGGGGAAGAGGGGGATAGGGACACAACGGAGATCACATGCGCACAGCCACCCAGTCAGGGAGGGGTGCCACAAAGAGATCAAAACCATACCGCTGTACTTCCTACGCTCCCGTCCCCGTGAGGCGGAGCAAGGCTGGCAAGGGTTGTCGCAGAGTCATACATAAGCCTGGCCCCTGCCGTACCCCTCCGTCTCCCCCTCTGTCGTACCAGTCAATCGTGCAGCAGTTGACGAGCGAGGGGAACTGCCGCAGCCGCTCTCGGAATGCGTCCCCGATGGGGCTCATGGCCAGCACGATGTGCAGGTTGTCCCGCGTCTTGTCCACAAAGTAGGCCCTGGGGGGGGGGAGGTATAAGGTGTTTAGGTGAGCGACACGTGCACATTGGAACGCGACGACAACGCGTATGCAGCCACTACACACGTAGACATTCGCCACGAATGCACCACCCCACATTGTTGCGCGACGTCCTGTCACTCCGCTGCACTGCCCAGCCACCCTCCGACACAACCCACTGCGTCGGCTCCATGCCTGTGTCCCTTGCTTAGCAGTCAGCCTCCCCGCCCCCCCCGCCCCCCCACCCCACCCCACCACAGCTCCACCGCCGTCTCCAGCGCCAGCCCCTCCCTCTTGGACGCCGCCCTGCACTGCTCCAGCACCGCCGCGCGCTCGTCGTAGGGGAACATGTTGGGCACCTCGCCGCTGTTCAGCAGGTTGTTCACGTCCTCCACGAAGCTCTCCGCCTTGATCTGCGAGTCGCTGAACAGGAAGACGGAGGGCCGGTTGTCGCCGCCGGCAGCGCGTACGAAGCGCTTCAGGTCCTCACGCCACTCGGCGGGGCCGTAGCTCTTGCTGATCTCAACCTGCAGGAGAGGCAGCCAGGCAGGGGGCAGGCACACAACGACCGTATAACCACGCAGCGCAGGTCGAACAAGCAAGGTGCCTGACTCTTTCTCTCCTTCAGCAAGCATGCCAACCAACCAACCATTTCATGCCCCCACAGGTTCCCAAGCCCCGCACACCCAGCTTTGTCCGGGCTCTGACCAGCCCCTACACAGCCCCTCCCACCTCCCACCCCCCCTACTGCCCCTCTTCCCTTCCCTCAATAAGCAACCCATGGCCCCCACCTGGAACGCCACCATGCCGCAAATGAACGCCGCCAGCCTCGCCAGGCTCTGCCGCCCGCTGCCTCCCACCCCCACCAGCAGCAGGTGCCCGCCCGGCTGCTTGAGCACGCGGGTGATGCGGCTGATGTGCTCCACCGCGTACAGGAAGACCGCCAGGTTCATGGGGCGCTTGGAGGTGGCGTTGTGGTCCGCCAGCATCTCCTCCACGCGGGCGGTGAGGGAGGGGATGTCCGTCACCTCGTCGTACTGCCGGAGGGCGGGGTCCTCTGGGCGGGGAGGGAAGAAGGGAGGGGCTTTAAGCACACAAACGGGACAAGTGGTACCATGGCGCTTAGTAGGGGTGCGGAAAAGACGGCACAACAATGCCTGGGCATGACACATCCCTGTCAAGCACAAACCCATCAGCTGCTCAGCAGCTCCCAGCCCTCCACCTCCCCCCCCCCCCCGCACCGTTATCGTCCATGTAGTCCCCGAAGAAGCAGCGCCGCACGCCCTCGATGGTCACCTCGCCGCCCCCCTCCCCGCCGGCCCCCTGCGGCCGCAGGTGCGCGAACAGCGAGTCGAACTCCGCTCCCAGCCGCTCCTTCATGACGGTGCGCAGGAAGGACAGGAACCAGGTGCGGTCGCGGTCGTCAACCAGCCGGTCGTAGAACACACGCAGGATCTGTAGATGGGGGGGAGGGGGAGAACAGGGGCGGGGGCGGGGGCGGGGCGGGAGGTGGGAATGTGTGTTGAGATAACTGGCCACGACTTGGAACGTACTGTAATTGCCAGAAGATGAAGTGCTGGGTTGTGGTGGCGGGTGTGCAGGGGCTCCCTCCACAGCCACCCCTGCGGCCACCTCCCACATGTGCGTGCGTTCCACAGCAGTCGAGAAACGAGAAACCCAATAGACAATGAGGACCGGCCCCCAGGGTGGTTGCACACCCGCCCGCTGCCCGCTGTCCCCCGCCCGCCCACCTCATGCGCCCACAGTCGCAGGTACTTCTCCTTGGCCTGCACCGGGCTGGCCCCCAGCAGCTGCGGCGGCAGCAGCAGGAAGCCCTGCATCACCCGCGATATGTCGCGCAGGTTGAAGGTGTAGTGGGAGCGGGTGGGGGTGGGCAGCAGCTGGGCGGCCACCCGGGTGTACACGGAGAGGGTGGCGCTGATGATGGGGTCGCGCAGCTCCTGGGGGGGGGGGGGGGGGTCAAAGACCATACCAAACCATAGGAGACCACAAGTTAGGGCAAAGCAATGGGGGGAGGAGGGGGGGGAGTGGGGTGAGGTTGGGGGTGGGGTGGGCCTAAGACGAACCAACTAACCAACTAACATGACTAACATGACTCGTATTGGTCTTACAATATCAGGTGACGCATTGCGTTGCCGAACTATCCCGCACGTACATAAACGGAACCGCGTCAAACGCCACCTAAGAGCCAGGCTGCCCCTGAGCTCCCCCCCTCCCGCCCCCACCTTGATGTAGTTGGGGAAGCTCCTGACGTCCAGGTGCCACGCCAGCAGCGTGGAGAAGATGCGCCCCAGTGTGGTCTCGTCGAAGTCCACAATGGACACCAAGTTGAAGTGGCGCGCGTAGCGGGGGGTGATGGGGTTGCGCCCGCCGCCCGGGGGCCCCATGGCCGCCACGAACAGCACGTCGTCAAGCCGCCGGAAGCAGTTCTGCCGGTCGTACCAGCCGCCGTGGTCCATGAACTGACGCAGCAGCTCGATGGGCGGCTGGGCGCCGTACGTCTCCAACTGGGGGGGGAGGGGGGAATTAAAGATAAGTCCAACAAGGGGGGGAGGGGGAGGTAGTACGGTTAAGCACCAGGGATGTCATAGTCGGCCGTCAGCCGTCCGTTGTGCCCGTGCGCACATCGTCAGCTCCCCTCATGCCCCCGGCTGCTCATATGGCTCTACAACCCGCCAGGCAACCAGCATGCATGCGGCCTAAACCATCCCCCCAACCCCATTCCCCCCACCCCCACCCCCACCTGCGGCATGTTGAGGTCGTCCACGAACACCACCGCCCTCTTCCCCACCGGCGGCCCGAACACCCCCCTCCGCCGCCTGTCCAGCTTGGCGTCGATGAGGTGCTGCGTGGCGTTGGCGGTGGTGCGCGCGGAGAAGCCGATCACGTTGGGCGGCACGTAGGTGTCGGGGGGGAGGCCGTACAGGTACTTCTGAACCAGAACCGACTTGCCTGGGAGGGGGGCGGGGGGGGGAGAGGTGAGGAAGGATACGGACGGGTGCAGGGGGGTGGTGGTGTATGTACGGGGGTGTACGAACAAGGCAGGGTAGTACCGGTGTCATGGAGGCCCCCACCCCCTCATGCATGTCGTACACCCCCGCTGCTCACCCCTCCTCACCTGTGCCCGTGGGCCCCACTATGAGTACGGGTTGCGCGTGCCCCACCCCCTTGTCCAGCAGGAAGGAGTAGCGCACGGTGTCGATGGAGGGGATGATGATGCGCCTGCAGGGGTGGGGAGGGGAGGAGGGGAGAAAGGAGGGGAGCGAGCACGTCAGCACAGCCCTGTGGGGTTTGCTTCATTGTGCGGTGCGTTGCGGCACAACACGGCGGCGGTACACCCCTAGCATGGCATGGTGTCAGATAGCCTGAGAACCCGGCAACAGTGCATCTCCCTACGCCATGAAGTGTTAAGGTAAACATGGAGCCGCGTACAGAGCTCCCCACATGTACGGGAAGAGGGGGGGCAGCTTCCCCTTGCATGTTTTACCACCATCAACTGTTCTTACCTGAACTTTGCATCGCTGGGGATGGGTGTGGTGTCGATCAGCTCGCTCCACAGCCGCCAGCAGTCGCGCTCGCAGTCGAAGAAGAAGTCGTACACGCTGTAGCGGCCGCCGGGGGGCGGGTCGGTGCCGGGCAGCGTGAGGGGCATCATCTCGGAGTTCTGCAGGGGGAGGGGGGGGGGGGGTGCGGGTAGGGTGTATTAGGAAGGAGGAAACGGAGTTTCTAACGCCCGAACCCCAACCCAGGCGCCCGCGGAGGGGAGTTGTGGAGGGTGCAGATCGCGCAAACAAACACCCAGAAGCCAGGCAGGTCAGCGCTGCACCTCCCCCCCTCTCCCTCCCCTCCCCTCCCTCCCCCCCTCCCTGCCGCCCAGCCGCACCTTGAGCCGGGTGTGCCCCACGGGGATGTCCTCAGGCAGCGTGTACCTGCGCACAGGAACACCACCACAGCCGTCAGCCATAGATCCACATCACCACACCACCACCAGCCGCATCACATAGCTGTGTCAGGTCACCACTCCCGGCAGGCAAGCAACACTACAACGGCACCGCGCTTCTTCAGCGTCACAGCGACCCGCCGCAACCGCCACCCTCTCCCTCCCTGCCCTGGCCCCGCCCCTGTCCCTACATTTCCCCCGAGGGCGATGTGTAGGCTTGCAGCCGCTCCCCCACCGCCGCCCGGATGAATGCGTCGAAGTGGTGTCGCGCCATGTTGTCGGCGCCGCTGCCGCCCACCGACCACACCAGTGCGAACAGGAAGAGGGACTCCAGGTGCAGACAGATGCGGGAGTCGGTCATGGAGGAGTAGGAGGCCTCGTCCTGGGGGGGGGAGGGGAGGGGAGGGGAGGGGAGGAGGGCCATCGAAAGAGGATGACAGGCTATCGCGTCCTGTGCCTCCTGCCTCCGTGCATGCTCCCTCAAGTGGACCAACGCAAGCACGGGTGCGCGACGAGGGGTCCCACCACGCCCCTCCCCCCTCCCCCCTCCCCCACTGCTTAGCCCCGTGTCTCAGATGCGGCACCGCTTCACCTCGTGCCTTTCTGAACCCTCCCCTTCCCTCCCCCTCCCCTCCCCCCTCCCAACGGCCCCCACCTGCATGTGGTCCATGGACGCGGTGATGTAGCGCATGAGGGTGGTGGCCAGGTTGGCGTCCAGCGTGGGGGCGGACTCCTGGGGGGGGGAGGGGAGGGGAGGGGGAGCACATAGTGTGTCAGCATGCGGCAGGAACCGCCCGAATCCCCATCCCACGCAGCCCTTGGAGCATGCTTAGCCTGTGTCCGCAGCCCGACTATACTGAACACCACGCTAACGCCTCCACCTGTCGCGCCCCCTCCCCCACATGTCACCCCCCTCCATCCCCCACCCATCACACAGTCATTAGTTGTTTCCTCTTTAACCCCCACCCACCCACCCACCTTTAGCTCCCTGCGTATGAACCTCAGGCTGACCGGCACCAGCCAGTCGAACAGCGCCAGCAGGTGGGACCGGTGGCCCTCTCCCAGGTGGGCGGGCAGCTGGGACACCCAGCTCTGAGGGCGAGCGGAGGAGGAGGGGGAGGAGGCAAGGGGAGGCGAGGAGGAGGGGGGGCAGGGTAGGCCAGAGGACCAACAACGAAGCAACACTACTTCAAAGAGTTGGCCAACGATTCCTAGATTTCCTACACATTGGAGGTGTGTGTCGCGCGCCACACGTCTGACCACTAATGCATATAGAACTGTTGTGCATGCACGTGTGCGGGCGTTGCAGGAGGGCAAAGCAACCGGACAGGAGCTGGACGGCAAGACACCGCTGCTGACCCGACCCACGGGTCGCTCCTGTCTGCCGGCTACATCCCCCCACCCCCCAACCCCCCCCACCTGCACCAGCGGCCTCCACCCCAGCTGGTGCGGCTCCAGGTACACCATGCCGCAGCGGGACACGGTGGCGGGGGAGGCGACCGCCAGGTCCATCACCTCGAATATCATGTTCTGGGGGGGGGAGGGACACAACACCAGGTTTTGCCCGCGTCAGCATTCATCAGACACGATACACACCACCTCCCACCTCCTCCTTCTGGGCTACTGTGTACCCCAACCAAGCGGTAACACATCGCTCAGCACCGGGGTCATGAGATGCGGCGCGGCGGCGCCGTCCCCACCAAGCAAGCAGGCCAGCAAGCAAGCAAGCCGTGGTGCAGGAGATCCCCCGTCGGGCCACACGGCCTCGCACCTCCTCCCCCTCCCCCCCCCGCCCCCACCATGCTTGCGCTCATCTGGATGATCTCGCCGCTGTTGAGGCACAGCTTCTTGTTGTCGTCCAGCACGGTGTTCATGTTCTCGATCCAGATGGCGTCCACCGGGCCGTCCAGCACCAGCCACTTGCGGTGCGGCTCGGGGTTGGAGGCCACCTGGCGGAACAGCACCGCCAGCACGCCGTCCGTCCACTCGTGGCTGGGAGGAGAGGGGGGAGGGAGGGGGGGATTGAGTGATACGTGCAGCAGGGGGGCGGTGTAAGGTTTACGTCAGCGAAGGAGAAGCTGTAGGAGTGGAACACGTACGAGGGGAAGGCATGAGGGGAAAGCGGAATGGGAGATGGCAGCAACATGGGGCCCGTCACCGGGCGTCCAAGCAGCCCACTGCGCTACCGGCCCCCTTGTCGTGCCACCATCATCGGTACCGGTACCCTCCTTAACGGTGGTGCCCCTCCACAAGAGGGAAGGGTAGCAGGCAGGAGCCAGCCCCCCCCCGTCCAGCCCCCTCCCCTCCCCTCCCCACCCCCCCCACCTGACTGGGTCGAACTGGCCGTACAGCTGTCCCATGGTGATGGACTTGGGGTTGATGACGTGGTACTCGGCCTGGGGGGGGAGGGGGGGGGAGGGGAATTCGATTGGAGGACATTAGGGTAACCTGATGGCAGCTCGGAGACACTGTTGCAGCGAACGGCTGAAGCTGGAGAATACCATGCACTGAGCAGCGAGTGCATGAGCTTCCGCTATGTCCCCCCCTCCCCCCCTCCCGCCCCGCCCACCTTTGTCTGCCCCTCCTGCCCCCTGCCCTCCATGATGGTCAGTGCGTCCGCCAGCACCCGGTAGCTGCTGGTCTTGCCGGCGAAGGGAAGGCCCACGATCATGAGGCCGTGCCGTACCACGATCATCTCGTACAGCTGGATGGACTGGGGGGGGGGGAGGGGGGAGGGATGAGAAGGGGGGAGGAGGGAGGGGCAATAGGCTCTAGTACGGCTTAGGAGTGCTGGAACCGTGATGCCGTCCGTGTTGCACAAGCAGACAGCAGCAGCGGCAGCAGCCACAGGGGCCCGGCCTGACGCCTTCTTCCCTGCTAGCAGCTTGCACCTCAGCCCCCACCTTCCCTTCCCCCTCCTGTCCGCCCCCCCGTCCCCCCACCTTGAGCAGGAAGTAGTCGCTGGGTTGCAGGTTGCGAGCCGCACACGCCTCCCGCAGCGCCCCCTCCATGGCGCCGTAGTCGGGCTTGGGGAGCACAACACCTGGGCGGGGGGGCAGGGGAGTTGGAGGAAGGCATTGCATGCTGCTACGCGTACTGCCGGCCTGTATGTAGGAGCGCAGGGAACCCGCAGCAAACCGCCGTTGGCACTCCAGCCCAGCGGTGCACACGAGCGGTGAGGCCCCGCTGCGGCGTCAAGCTGGGAGGGTGGGTGCGGTAGCCACACAAGTCCCACACAGGTCCCAACACCCCCCCCCCGGCGGCACCCATGCCCCCCCACCCGCGGGTGCCCCCCCCCCAGCCCCCCCCCCCCCCTCACCCGGGAAAAGGTCTGATATGATACCGTTGAAGAGCGGCACGTCGTGGCTCAGGAACTTGCAGAGGTTGACATCGATGATGGAGCGCAGCATCAGCACGTACTCGTCCTCGGCGGGGAAGCGGCGCTTCAGGTTGCCCGCCGCGCGGAGCACCGCCATCACCGCACGCATGCCTGGGGGGAGCGAGAGAGGGGTTGAGGAAGGTTGCGGGGAGGTTAAAAGAACGTTACCAGCTATTATGGCTTCTGTTGGAGGAATGGGGTGAGGGGTGCGGAAAGACAGATGAGGAGGGGTGGGGGACCCCCAGGGTGGGGCCGCTGACCTTCGTAACAAGCATTCCGGCACTGCACATGCTAGTGCACATGCTAGTGCTGCCCGCTGTTCAGAGCTCACAAACCCCCTCCCACCCACCCCCCACTGACCGCTGCTTAGAGCTCACATCCCCCACCCGCCCTCCCCCCTACCGTAGTCGTAGTGGTCCTGGCTGGACAGCTGCTCGGAGCACAGCTTGTAGCACTGCACGATCTTCTTGGCGCAGTCGCGGGCCTGGGGGGTCAAAGACCATACCAAACCATAGGAGACCACAAGTTAGGGCAAAACAATGGGGGTAGGAGTTGGCAGGGTGCCACAAGACAATGGGTTGGTTAGCTTTCCCTGGGGGGGGCCTGGGGGGGGGGAGCCGGGGTAGGGGGAGTAAAAATAAGGAAAACTGACGAATTCAAAGACGGGGCTCCTCCATGGGTTGCTGATTGAACCCGGCCCATCCCACCCGACCCGTATTAGCCAGGGGGAGGGGGAGGGGGGGAGGCGAAGAGGCATGAGGGAGGCGTGTGAAATTCCGCTTGCAGCTTGTCGCTCGAGCTGTTGCTGCTGCGGGCGTTACACCATGCATTGGAAGCCCAAAGATGCACGCTGAGGAGTGTCCTTTAAAAGACAAGCACCTCCCCTCCCCCCACCCCAGGCCCCCACCTTGAGGTATCCGTTGCTGTAGAGGATGATCTCACTGATCATGGCGTAGTCGGGAACCATCATGGCAACAGTGCGGAACAGAGCCTGCAGGGGGTGGGGTGGACAGGGGGGGCCGGACAGGGAGGGGGAGGGGGGAAAATTTATATAAGTGAAACAAGGAGGAGGGGAGGACAGGGGCCGTTAGCAGCAGCAGCACGGAGGGGGGGGGGACCCGGCATTGCGGCACCGGCCACCCGCAAGCAGTCCAGCCGAGTGTACCTCCCTAACACATGCAGACGAGCAGCCTGCACCTTGATGACCCCGCAGCCGCCCACCCCTGCCGCACGACCGCCCTCTCCATGCGGAGCAGCAGCCCCCCCTCCCACCCAACCCCCACCCAATCCCCCGCTCCCTCCCCCCCACCTTGAGGTTGTCCGGCAGCTCGCTCCTGCCCGCGTAGCCCGGGTTCATTGTGATGCAGCACCAGGCGCTCCACTTGAGCTGCATCTCGGTGCCCTCGAACGTGAAGCGGCGCAGGCGGGCGTGGATGGCGCGCTGGATGTCCAACACCTGGGGGGGGGGGTGGACGGGGAAGAAAGGGGGGAGGTGTGTTAAGAAAAGTGGCCGCGAGAAGGAAGGTGATTGCCGGAAGGTAAAGTCCTCCCACAGAAACGCCACAGGAGCAGACAAGTATGGTGGAGGTGTTTGCGCGGCCGTCGGGACGGAGGCATGAAAGGGAAGCATCAGGGGACGGAGATCCCGGCCCCTACCATGGCACCCAGGGCTCCTCTCACACCCTCCTCCCTCCCTCCCTCCCTCCCTCCCTCCCCTCCCCTCACCGCCCCTCCCCCCCCCACCTGCTGCGCCACCACCGACAGCACCTCCAGGTCGATGCGGTTGAACTCATCGAAGCAAGCCCAGGCGCCGCTGCTGGCTAGACCCTTGAAGAACTTGCCCATGGCCTGAGGGGGGGGGAGGGGTTAGAGCGGGGGGCAGGCAACAAGGGGTTTATTAGACCCCAGACGGATGCTGCTATGGAAACGAAGAAGAAGACCCATGAGCGTAAGCCCACCTCGGCAGCCTCTTAAAGGAGATGAAGTACCCCCACCTCCCCCCCCCTGCCCCTCCCCCCCTCCCCCCCTCCCCCCCTCCAAACCCCCCTCACCTGGTAGTCCAGCGAGTCGGAGCAGTTGAACACCACACACTGGCGAGCCAGCGCCTTGGCCAGGTCCTTGGTGGTCTCCGTCTTGCCGGTGCCTGCAGCAGCAGGGAGGGGGGGGGGAGTAGGGTAGGAGCAGGGCAGCGGTGGGGCGGTATGGCAGGTAAGCAGCAGGAGGGGCTCGAGAGCACAGGTAGCTGGGCCCCAGGAAGCTGTGTGCCCCAGCTCAGCAGTGCGCCCCCTCCCACCCGCACCCCCACCCACCCCACCTGCGGGGCCCTCGGGTGCCCCTCCCAGGGTGAGGTGGATGGCGCCCATCAGCGTGCGGTAGCACCTGGGGGGGAGGCGGGGAGGGGGACAGGGGCAACGGAGGTGCGGGATGTAAGGTAAGGCATGGGCGGCGAAGGAAGGCACATACAGGACAGTGACATCGCCCCTCGCTAGGGCGCTACCTGCCATTGCTACCAACACCCTCTCCCCTCCAGGCCCCCCTCCCCCTCCCCTCCCCCCCACCTGTCCGTGAGCGGTGTGATGACCAGCCGCGAGCTGTTCCCCAGGTACTCGTACCCGTACTCCAGCACCGCACTCATCATCCGCATCATCACGGTGGGCCCCTGCCGCCCGCTGCTGTCGCCCCCCGCCGCCACCGCCGCCTCGTTCTCCTCCCAGTAGCTCCGCAGCTGCGCCTGCCACTGGAAGTCAGCGGCGGAGGTGACCCCCCC